GTATTTCCTTGACTGCTCTGGGCCCATTTCCGGGATCTAGAGTATCAGTGAATTCGAGTACGGATGTTCGTATAGCGTTCAGAATAATGGTATATGTGACGGAGTTTGGTGCGCTCTCTCCGTGTTCTGGTATCTCCCCAGCAAATGCCCAGAGGTTCTTCATATCCCCGTTTCGAGCGCACACATTCAGCACCGCATTTATATGTATGATATTAGGCTTCGATTCCGAGTTGGCGTTTTTCATGGACTCAAAAAGTCTTATCGCAGTCTCTGACGAGTTTTTGGACGAACCAGCCGCCAACCCCGACAGGAGAGTTGTAAACGTTCGCTCGTTTGGAGCGCGACCTCTTTTCTTCATCTAGATGAAATAATAACATGTCATTAGCCTTGAGTCAATGATAATGCCTAGAGATAGACGTACATCATTGAATAATTTCATAGCCTCCTTTCTATGCCCGTTTTTCATCTTGTATTCAATCAGAGCGTTCCAAGAGGCAATGCAGTCAATCTTTGCATTCTGAGATGCCCTGACTAGCAGAATTGCCTTTTCCTCATGGCCAAGCGTGAGTAACTGCTTCACTCTTCGAGCCAAAGCCACTCGGTCACGCTGAATATATTGCATCTCCTTCTCGAATTCCGCTTGGCTGAGTCGTTTTTTGAGTTCTCGTCCTGGGCTCTCATACTCTTCATTTTCCTCTCCTTCTCCTTCCTCTCCCTGCTTGATCTCTGTCTCTTCTGTTAACCTCGTTTCCTCTTTATTGGCCTTCCGTTGCCATCTCCCTCTATCCCCAATGGCTCGATGGCGGTCTTTTGCTCCCCATTTTGTTGCATATGGCCTGCTTTCCCTATCTTCCGTGTAATTGCGGCTTTTCCATGTGCGTACAGAGCTATAATGACGAGAAGGATAGCTAGGATGCTGGGACTGATGAATTAGAACTGACGGAATTCTTGCAATCCTTTTGGAACTTAGGACAGTGCTCGCCCCTGAGGCACGAGTGTAACCAAGGTTGGCATTTCCGGAACGAAACATTTAAAAGAAGTATAGCACTGCTAACGGTGCCTGGATCAACAATATACAAAAGGTCGACTCCGAGTCTTTTATTGAGATTAACAAAAAAGCTTTTTGAGTTTATCAATTATTCTGCCGCCCTTCACCGCTCTCACGGATAATCTATAAATACGAGATTATATAATTAATGACTAATCAAGCATAGACGTTTCGTGACGTCAGACCCACATTGTTTATTTTAGTGACGTCAGACCCACTTTGGACCCACGGATTGCTTGTATTGACGTCAGACCCACTTTCTGTCTACAAAAAAGCCGTTTTCGACTCTGCATCGCTCGTAATCTCCACTTCTTTTTCCTTCTTTGCATATGATCCATGCAGGCTATTGTTTATACAGAGCGACATTATTATATGAAAAAAAAAAAAAAAGAAAAGAAACATGTCTATTGCTCATACACCATCCACTGTCTGTCCCGCCGAGGCAGATGATGAGTGTCTCCTCAGACTCTATACCCTGGTCTATGAGCCGCGGACCCCAGATGAAGTGCGTGCGTACAAGAGAGATCTTGCCGAGGCAGCGGCCATCCGTGAGAGAAACCGACAACGCCGTCGAGTGGCATACGCACAACAGAATAGTACGCTTCCCCGGGATAAACCTCCTTCATATGCGTCATTATTCCCTCCCAAGCCACGGGAATCTTCTCCAGGACAGGGTTCACCACCTTCACAAGAGTCCTTACTCGGGCATCCGTACATAGAAGACGACGTCATGATATCCCTTCCCTTGCTTGGCCCTGAACCGCAAGGGCAGAGGTGGCCGAAACAGACCAAGAAAAAGGACTTGGCAAGGCAGAAGATAGCTATCTATTCTTCTAAAATCAAAGCGTTATGGCGTCCTGGCCCAGATGGAAGGACCAACAGGATAATTTACTTGTTAGGCGGATAAGTTCAGGACGGGTCCCACTTGCCCTTCCTATATGTCCGCTTTACGCTTAAAGCCCTCTCCGGGATCTAGTCTCTGCCAAGGAAAGTCTGCGCGGCGGTTTATCAGCCATATCCACCAATGGGTATTATCGATGACATCCCTTCGGGTGCAGATTGCAAGGCTGCAATTTATAAGAATGCTTGGTAGGTACATTGATTGTTTTTCGGACACTACAGCAGCATCGGGACTGGATGTAACTAACACATCTTCCGCACAGGCAATGATCACCATAGAATCGAAATGATCGAGACTGTGGATGCGGATGACACTTAAAATATTACTAGGTCCTTTGAGTTGGCGACGTTACTAGATATATAGAGTGATTAAGACGTTTGTTCTGTGTCTTGCTATGTAAATGAGATTCTATACCATTACACCCTTGTACAAAAGACATACTCTTTAATAATAATTCTGGTACTGATAACTCCTAAAAGAACGCAGTAGAAAAAGGCAAATGCCATTGTCATTGAATATTCACTAAGAGTCTACCTGAAAAATATATGCCATAGACCCTAGGGCAGTGCAAATCCAAAGAGAACATCCATTTCTACCCACTGTCTTCCGCACTTGTTCAAGTACTCATCCACTACGGACTTGACGGTGTCAAACCGTGTCCGATTCCAGGCAGCCAGTGCTAAAATCGCATCCTTTTTCTCTGCAGACGTTTCCTTCTCTGCCATGGTTTTCGCCTTCTCCACATCCCATAACCCGGCAAAGTAAAGCAATTGATTATATAGCTGTTTTTCAGTATATTCGTAATGCATGCGGCCAAGACACCCCTCAGCCCGTCCACGAGGGCCCAGGCATCGTTGGCCATAAACACTCATTTGGCGTGTTCGATTGCCACAGGCAGAGTCATCACAAACAAGCCATCCTTCATAGTACTGTGCTGTTTGAGCACGGATTTGGCTTTCCAACTGTGCAATAATGGATATGACAGTAAAGGTTTTAGCACAGGCCGGGTCGGGGCATACTATGCCGTTGGGAGAGCATATGTCCCTCGAACCTATGAGGCCCTCGAATATGATGGTTTTCTGACAGAAGCGGCACTTGAGGTTAAGCCTAGCGGCTTTCTCGAATCTAATAGAGTCTGGAATCTGAGACTCGAGAGCGCATAGCTCTGTTTCTTGTTGGCCGTGTGCTGTATTGCTCGAGATTTGGTATTTCCTGACATCCAGGCCGAGGCATTCAGCTAATCGTGCGGCGTCCGTGCCTGGTATAGGAGCACATAGTCGTTCAATTGGAGGGAATATTTGTTTCAGGAGATAGAATTCCACATCAGGTTTCAATCCAGAATCTGTTTTGATGACGTCTTGAAGGGTGTATGATCGTTTAGCAGGTGGCAAGGATGATGTTTCTGCATCACCAGTTGTTACTATATAAGAGATAACATCATTGGGGCGAACCGATTTGCCTCTGGCAAGTTCACGCAGAGCTACCTGCGCGGGAGGCATGGTCTCCTTGTTTGGGTATTCGTCTGGTTTTTTGGACAGTTTCTTCGAGGATGATTAGATGGGTTCCGTCAACAGCAGCGCAAGCGATGGAGATGACTTACCGTGTAGATGACATATTTCTGGACTGGGATGGCATATTCATGCATCTTTTGTGCTAATTCACGCAAGTAATCATGAATCTTGTTAAGGACAATTTCAACATCATCCCCAGACAAAATTTCGTGTAGTAACTTGGTAGAAACCTCCTTTGACAAAGCACAGAACTCTCGACGCTTCATATCCAATCCTTTCACCTCGAGATGCTCTACGTACGTCCCATCCACTTCTGATAAATTAATTGCTGCGTATTTCTTCTTGGCGTGTAGAAGCAGCCTCTTAAACACGTTATCGATATCAATTTCAAGGAGTCGGTATCGCTGGTTAACCAAACGTTTGAATTCATTTCCAACCTTCAGGGCCTCCTGAACATTATCCGTGTTTGTATTGATCATGACCGAATCGGTATCTCCGTAGATAACACGGAGCTGGTTAGTTTCTGCAAGCTCCTTCGTGTTACGTAGAATTTCTCGTCCCTTGAACGTCGTAAGCATGGCAAGTGGCCGGGCATAAAATCGTGATTGTGTATATCCCAAGCATCCATACATGGAGTTTGCTGTTAGCTTCAAAGCAAGCTGCTTGGTATCCCAAAGAGCAAGTTCCTCAGGAGTAGCGTTTTTGTTTTTCATTAGCTTCTTCACTTCTCTTCGACGGTTAACAAGGGTAGCAATAAGACGTGGAAGGATTCCCAGTGCCTGAGAACTATCTGGAACCTCAGGTACACTCTCCTCTCTATCATTCTCAGACTTATCTAACAGTTAGCATGTATATATCTTCGGGAGTGAATCCTGACTACTTACTGATGCATGTCGATCTACTGTTGTAAAGCAGATATTGTACTCTTGAATAATGCTGGGATACAAACTGTTGAAATCCATGACGAGGACATGCTTATCATAAAGCCCCTTTTCAGGCTCAAAGACAAGACCACCCTTGTATTTCTCCTTCTTTTTCTTATCAATCCCATCTTCTTCTTCGTTTTCTTCGACCTTGATCTGGGTCTTCTGACCATATTTGTCGGGACAAATGTATTTACCACGGTAAAACTCATGGAGCAAAATGTACTCATTTCGTTCAGCCCTAGTTCCGCTGAGTGTCCTAGACCATGAGTTGCCAGCAAGGTTGGTAAGGACTTTAGTTAAAGGAAGCATTTGTAGCTTAAGCACAAGTGCAGCAATGAAGTAGGTATCCGCTTCGCAATGACTAAGGAAATTCATGAGGCCTTCTTTCGTCGTGGCCCATGTTTTGAGGGCTGCTTCGGTATCGACTTCTCGACGCTGATCGCGTTCGCCCAGGTAAAGTTGACACATTTCTGTCAAAGTCCAAGATTGACATTTCATCATTAAAGACTTTCCCATATCGTTAGCAACATCGCAAAGAAGTCTTCCTGCTAAAAGATGTCTTTCGCTGAAAAATCCAGAGCCTTTTGAGAAGTTTTTGGGCCATTCACCGCGCTTCAGCCTACCGATGCGATGCCATCCAGGGGTTTTCTTCTCTCGTAATCGACTAAGAAGAACATTGAAATCCACCTCCTGAAGTTGATGACCCATAATGACGTCGGGATCAATTTTCTCGAACAAAGCCAGGAACTTGCTGAGAAGGAATTGCTCAGTCTTTTCTAGCATGACCGTTCCACGCTGCTTTTTAGCCTCAGCTTCAAAACCCAGAGGATAAGTGGAATTCGATGGCCTCATGACTGTGAAGGTCTTGCAAGGTAGGTTCTCTGGCAATGTGGTATCACTGAGGAGAAGGTTCTCATATACACGAGCCGATGCAACGATGATCTCCTGCTTATTTTCCTTGATGTTGAGCTGCGTCCTGAAAGACAAACTCATGAGCGTCAACGGCGGTGTTTCGACTTCCTCTGAATCCGGAACTAACGAGATCTCAGCAGGATTTGACACCTGACATTCAAGCTTGCACCAGGACGCTCCATTGACAGCAGTAAAGTCTGCATCTTCAATTTTCAGCCAACAGGGGCCCATGATATTCTTCCACAGGACAAATTGTTCGAACAGAGCCGTGTTCGTGCCAAAGACATGAGAAAACGTCTCCCCCTTCAGATCCATTGGTAAGGCAGGTTTTGTGTAGGGATACATGAGCTTCAGATATTCAGTTTCTTTAGGGATGTCAGGTAATTCGAAAGCGTATTTTCGAGTGCATGGTTTGATCTTGTGCATCTCAACTTTCGATCTACTCATGATCTCGTCTACTTCCCCATAGACATCTTCCATATCAACCTCTTCATCCGTAGTTTGGCCTCGGCGATACTTGTATTCCCGTGGCAAGAAATATAGCTTTCTTAGAATATTATCGACCTTGACAAAAGCACTTACGTAGCTATCATTGGCTTTATTCTTGACTTTGCCAAATAAGCATAAGCTGCCGTTGACTTCAGTGTAGTCTAGCCAGAAAAACCTCAAGCTATCATCTTCCTCGACAGCATCCTGGGCGGTAAGCTTTCCGAACCGTTGCATTTCAGAGACTGAGCTGTTGAGAACATTCAATTTGCTTGTCACATCATTCCATGATGATGGATTGATCATTTCTGTCGTAGCACGAGCAGGAGAAGATGCCATAGGATCATCATATACTTCTTTTTTAATCTTCGGGGGCGGCCGCTTTCCAACCATGTCGACGCTTGGTACGTGGGCACTGTGGTCTGCAACAGCTTCTGCTACGTCTATCATGTCGTCATCCACGTCATCTTCTTCTTTCTTGATTATTTCCTGTCTTGATTTCGAGGCATTGGCTGTTTTCCGCTCAACAGCATTCGCAACAGGTGACGAAGGCAGCGGCTGTTCACTCATTATGGCATCATCATTTCCGCTATCAATGAAACCGTCATCCTCCAGGACATCATCTAGCGCTGAATGATCCTTTGAGGGTGTTCTGTCATTCTCTAGTTCGTTCTCGGCCTTCTTTACCCTAGGCTTTAGTTGAAATGGAGGCGAAACGATTCGCACTTTTCTCCGCGTCTCAGATTTTATGGATTTTTTAACATGGGCCTTTGAAGGGATTGTGCTTGTTTCTACATCTCCCAAAATATCTGCGAGAAAGGCTTCGTCGTCGGCAGTAGCGACAGGCTAAATACTCGGTTTGTTAGGCACGGCCACGGTCAAAGACAAGGGAGATGGCGGCGCACCTTTGGTTTTGAGGTCTGCTTGGTGAGCGTCGCAGTAAAATATTTGTTGATTCCATTAGCTATTTTTTCCTTCCTCTGGTTCTCTTCTTCTCGCTTCCGCTTAGCGGCCTTCCCCCTGACAGGCAGGCCATCGCTGTCGCTTTCGCTGGCTACATGCCTGGTATCGTCCCATTCTTCTCGACCGTCGTCTGCGTATCCCTCGCCATTATCATCAACAACGAAGTCGTCACGATCAAGGCGTTTCCGGACAACTTTCTTATAGCCTTCTTCATCAACCTGTTCGTAAATATCTTCATCTTCTTGGACTTCGTAAGTTGCAAGGCGTTTCTGCCCTGAAGCACGGAGAGCCCTCAGCTCTGCTAACTTGGCACGAGCAGCCATGGTGCAATTGACGAACTAGGAAAAAGAGGGAAAACAATCGTAAAGAATGCACTATCTTCAAAGGGAGAGTGTTGAATATGGCAGGGCCTTGGTCGTGATACACCCCCTACTTCGGTGAGAGAAGAGGATGCTTGTCAAAATCTCGCGTTGTTGAGATCGTAAAATCAATTAAAAAACGCGTTTCGCGTCAAGTTGACGCGCGCCAAAGGAAGTTAGGTCATGTGATTAATTTGCTTACCTAATCAACTGGGCTTCATACATTGTGTATTCAGCTTTGACAGCTGAGAGTGATGTCTTTGAATGTTTCACATTACTCTCATCATTAAACAGGGCATTTGTGTTTTCACTCCATCTATTAGGTAGCAACTTCAACAACATTCGGAACCGTGATCTTAGAATTCTGCCAAATATGCCATTCGGTCAAGAAGGCGAGCCCGCACAAATTGGTGACAGAGAGGCTGGTTATATTTTGACAAATTCCCACGGTCAAAGACAAACCTCCTGGACAATTGACTATTGGTGGGAGCACCCATATCATACCGTGGAGCGAGCGTATGTTTAAATCAAGATGTAAAACTGGAGAGGGCGTTGAAGCGACTACCTATATTTTCGCGCGCCAGCAGGGGTACAGAGTACATTTATATCAGAGGGGGGATAGGAGTAATCGGGGGTTTGATATAATAGGTTTAAGGTCTATGTGAAGGCACAAAAAGATAATTGACATTCGTTAATACATTAAACCTCATGCCCAAACCACCCGTTAACGCCGAAAGCCTGACCCTTTTTTTTGACTACCTTAATTCATCTGCTTGATGAGGGCGTTGATGTTTTCCTCACGGTTACCAGTGTCACCACCCTCAATGAAGTGCTTGAACTTGCGAGTGCGGAAACCACCAGTTGGGTTGGAGAGCTTGAATGGCCAAAGGAAGTTACTAGCTTGCTTGAAGTTGGGGCCAACGGTGTAGATCTCGTGGATCAAGTCTTCCATGCAGACAATGCCGTACTTGCCAAGGTTCTCCTCGATAAGCTGGTTGTCGGTAAGAGCAATACGCTGCTTGTTGATTTTACCGTAGCCACGCTTGTAAACGAGCTCACGGACGCTCTTAAGGTTGGGGTAACCATAAGCAATGTAGGGGTCAACAATGGTCAACATTTCAGCGGTAGCCTTTGTGAGCTTGACAAAGACGCCGTTGTTGATCTGGAGAAGACGAAGAAGTTGAAGGATTTTGCGTGGCTTAGGAGCGATCTTGTTGATACTACAAGGTATGTTAGTATTTGACGTAATGATACTGGATGACAGAAAACAAGTACTAACCCCTTGATACGGACAACGAAAACGAGCTTGGGCTGAGCAGGGACATAGATGGATCCCTCCTGCTTGCTCAAACGAGCCAAGCGGATCTTCTCACGCTCAGCATCGCGGTACTCCTTGACATAGGACTCAGCACGCTTGAAAATGACAGCGCGCTTGTTCTTGTTGGCCTATGGATAACATTCAGTCAGTACACATGCCATCCAATTGCTATGATGCAAAATTGATATTGTTTTGGGTTGCAACTTTCAGACCCGAAAGATGGTTAAAGTGAAAGCGACAGCATCGACCAAAAGGTCTAGTCGCATCGTTGGTGATATCATCACAAGACAAGGCAAAACGAAACAAGATAGAACGAGCAAACGAATCAAAGGTACTAACCTTGCGGCGCTTCTCAAGCTCAGCAGTGCGGTTGGCTCTGGCCTTCTCCTGGCTCTTGCGCTTCTTCAAGAGAGTCTCAGGAACAAGGACTTGGTCCTGGGTTGGGACGGTGCTAAATGCCCGATGTCAGTATAGTCCGACCACATATTGTTAAATAATCTCGCCGAGTGTAAGAACTGCAGCTTATAGCGCCACATTCTCAACTGAAGGCGTTTTATCAAGACTCGACGAAATGATTTTAATCAATGAGGCCTAGGGATTGTTCTCGCAGTAGGGTTACTAGCAAAATTCTCCTGTGTCAGGTTTGAATTGTAGTCTTCCATGTTGCTTAAACACTCGCAAAGCATCCTCAATTGACAATGCCCCATGCAATTCATGCTCGGGATAACAGTGTCTGCCTATTTTCGCAGTTATATGGATCACCAATTCCTCATACAAGGGGATGGGAATCCTAATGCGATTAGAGCCGACAATGAATTTAAAGGAGAAGATATGGGACACCTTCAGCCTCAATGCCCCAGTGATGCCTCCCCATTGACCTCTATCCTTGCATTCTGTAGACCACTCGGAAGGGCTTCAAGGGGAGCATCGGGATTGTTCGAGCTGGTGCTAACATCGATCACAAACGAAGTAAAACGGTGCAAGCGACTCTAGCGAGAAGGACGGACTATAACCCAACACTTATACACACTGGACGGAGATTAGTAAATGACATAAAGACAGGGTAGCATACGTAGATGTAGGAGCCATGTCGAATGGGTCTGTCGTCGACTTTTTGCTGAATTTGCTGGTCGAAAAAAATGTCGTTGAAGTCGCAATAAAAAAGGAAGAAAAACCGAAACTTTTGAAGTTTTGTGTTTTGTGGAAAGAAAAATACGCTAGTCCTGATTTGTTTAAATCACGTGGATACCCCTTTTGGGATTTAGGGCTCAGCGTGATGACATCAGCAAGCGGTATCGATAAGAAACGACGACGGAAGAGAAGGACAGAGAGATAGAGACACAGAGAGAGAATAACAGGAGCAACCATGTCGTCTCGTCGTGGAGTTGGGCTTGGAGCATTTGCGAATAGGAATCAGGCTTCACAGTCCTATGCTACCCATGGAGCCAACCTGAGATCGACCCATGCTAACTCCCTCCAGACACAGCTATCAGTCTTCCAGTCATTGCTACATACCTTTGCCCTCGAGCATGGAGAGACGATCAAGTCGAATCCGACCTTCCGCGCCGAGTTTGCGCGTATGTGCCATGCTATAGGAGTTGATCCCCTTGCAGCCAGTAACATTAAAGGGAAAGGAAAGAAAGGACTCGGTGAAGGGGGCAGCTTTTGGACGCAGATACTCGGCGGAGGCGTCAATGACTTTTACTTTGAAGTTGCTGTGCGAGTGGTGGAACTCTGCAGAGAGACACGTGCAGAGAATGGCGGGTTGATAAGTGTAGAGACGTGTCGGAGGATAGTAGGAGCTGGGAAAGCCATTGGAGGGGGATTAGAGGTCTCAGAGTAAGTTCCATTTGCCTAACTGTTACTCCTAATAACTGACTGGATGTGTTAGGGACGATATTCTTCGGGCTGTCGAATCCTTGGCACCACTTGGATCCGGCTTCACTGTCGTGACAGTTGGTAGCAAAAAGTTCGTCCGGTCTGTACCAAAGGAGCTTAACACAGACCAAGCTACCGTCCTTGAGGTTATTCAACTGCTAGGCTTCGTGACCGTCTCCATGCTACAGTTGAATCTAAAGTGGGAGAAGGCGAGGTCGAAAACAGTTATCGATGATCTACTCGCGGACGGACTCGTGTGGGTGGATTCTCAATGCGTAGAAGAGGAATACTGGTCACCTCAATATCTACAAGGGGACAGTGGATGAATCCCAGTTACAGATGCAACATTCATCATAAAAGAATTGCCAACTAAGGGGCAGGCTTATATCCTTAGCTATACACGGGTTGGTATATACGATTCCACGCGAACCGAACGCCATTGGATAAGCATGGCTTACCCCCCGCTAGACAGACATTAAATGCTACCTGCTGAGATACACGCTACGGCCATATATATATCCGCCATGACATAGAGGTAATACACATGGGGAACATGATCAAACCTTCTAGATGTGCGGGGAAATACAAGGTCTGGATAGTAATAATCAGAACCAAGAAGTTATCTTAGATAGGGACTAGTTACAGAGAACCAAAGCAATCCCTTCGTTAATAATTGAATCTTCTCGAAGTTATAATTTATTCAACCTGCTATTGATCATTTATAATATGCGTGGACATTTTTTGAACCCTGATGCAGACTCAACTTCAAGCATTCCGTGAAGACAGAGCCGGTACATAGTAAAAGGAGAAAAAATTAAGAAACGAAAGCAGGAAATGATGCTGACATGGAAAATCATAAAAAAAAACATCATTTCATTAACTTCTTGGGTGTCAAAAAGAGAACAGGGGGGATAAAGTAGAAGAAAATTATAAAGTCTTAAAGCTTTTATGCTCGGATCGCTCCACCCAGGGCACCGCCACTGAATTGCTGGTTACCGGGCCTTCTACCTTGTCCTCCAATTCCACCACGACCACCACCGCCTCGCTGTCCGCCTCTGCCACCACGCCCGCCACCTCGTCCGCCGTGGCCTTGGTCACGTTGGAAAGCATTGGTCATGCCTTGTGTTCGTTGCTCAAGGGTCTTTTCATTGGCTTCTAGTAGAGACATCGACTTATCGGCGAGTGTGACAATCTGGCTCTGAAGTCTGGACAGCTCTACACCCTTGCGGAAGACAATAGCGTTGTTAACCTGGTCAAGGGCGGCGCTTAGTTCTTCGTGAGAGATCATACGGCTGATAATAGCGGATATTCTCTTTTCTGAGAGCTCGAACATGGCGGTGAGAGTGCTGATGGAGAGGGTATCGTAGAATGGGGCGTAAGTGAATAAGTAAGTGCGTAGACCTTCCTCTTGGATTTGCTCGGCGAGCATGACTTTGATCTTGTCGGGTTGGGCCATCAGGTCCCAGATCTTAATGGAGTTAAGGGTTGCAGAGGCCTTCTTCCAGTCACCAGCGGCGAGGAATTTCGCACTCATAATCACACCGTCACGGGTATTCTCTGGTGGGCCGGTAAAGACTTGTCGCTCGTTGTAGTCGAGCATTCTTCGGAAAGTCTTTGAGATGATTCGTCGTTTGAGCTCGGGCGATGATGAGGTTTGAGCCATTAGCGGAACTTCAAGGAACATGCTGGACGTGAGGTAGATGCACTCTAGAAGCTCGAGATTAATGTGCATGTGGAAAGGAAGCTGGCGCTGACGCTCAAGTTTCTCTTGCTCGGGGGAGACGGAAGAATATCTTTGCATAATGATGCCCTGGGCCAAGAGTTCTTTTTGTCGTCCACTGCCGCAAACCTCTGAAAGGGTGTTTTGGGCTTCGTAGACAAGACCGGCACGGAAAGCACAGAGGCCAATTTGTACGAGAGTCCGGTTGAATAGGATCTGCGTGCTGACATCAAAGTTGGAGATATTTTCCGTAAGAATGGGACATCAACATGAGGTCTCTGGCACGGTGGTACTGTCGTGGAGGGCAAGGAAATAGATCTGGCACAACATAGCACGAGCCCTGATGATGCCGTCACTGTACTGGAACAGATAGTTGCAGAGGGTCTGTACCAAGGCAGAAACATCTGTGCTCTTCGCGCGAGGGGTGATTCCCGAGTCTAGCTTCTCAGGAATAACTTTCCAGGAGTTCTCTTCCATTATTGCAACAACTTGGGCAGGCTTGAAGTAGACATGCTCTAGTCTTCTCATCAAGACCCTGTTCACGCTGTCCTGTCTGGGTTCGGACTTCTCGGTCTCGTTTAGATTCTCAACATAAATGAGAGCACGGACAATGTTGTTGTATAGAAGCTGTTCGTCGCTGAGTCTCTCGATATACTCTGCTGTGTGGGGGTCGATGTGTTGCAGAGAGCGGGTGAGCTCGTCATCTAATCGTTCCACGAGGGAAACAATGCTTCCAGGAACCTTGAGAACTTCACCGGGAGCAAGTTGTGGCATCTTCTCATCATCTTCCCACTCCTCGGCACCCTCGGTGACAACATAAGCGGGATTCTCCTCCAATGTCTGGAGCAGGGAGGTGATCTCTCGCTCGGCGAGCTTCCACTGGTCTGTGCCCAAAAAGTTGTTTGCAGAAGTAGTGCTGAGGTCGAAGCGGGTAGAAATGAGGGTCAGGAGGGTTCGGATTGTGTGGTATGGAGTAGTGGCAACCTCGAGGAGCTTCTCCATTGTTCGGATTTGTTCAAGGCGGTCGGTGTTCTTCTTCCCTCTGGACTCTACGACAACACGGAGATGTTTGAGAATACTCTCAGGGGTATATTGAAGGGCCTTTCCACCACGACCAACGGTCGAGAATCCGCTGTCGTCCCCGATCATAACGTCGTCCAAGCGAGTAGTCGCGCGGGGAGCACGCTCCACCACCACCACTTCTTCCTCTTGCTCGGGCTCCATGTATTCTTCCTTATTCTCTCTGTACTTTTCGATCTCGGTACTGTACTCCTTGTTGTTCTTCTTTAGACGTTGCTTAACAGTGTTAAACCCCTTTGCGTTGTTGGCGTTCATCTTCTTGGTGGAAACCTTCTGCTTCGCAAGTGTCTCGTTCATGAAGTCCTCCAGGTCGGCAATGGCCTTGATATAAATCTTAGGAATAGGACCTGACTGGATAATTTTGGCAGTCTGTCTGTTCAGTTTATCGAACTCTACAGCCGCCAAGTTAGCTCATACTCTTCGTCTGCATCCGGAGAAAAATCCCCGATCCTATTCCCCCTACTCCAGAACTAAAAAATCACCAGACATACCGGTTGAAATAACCGCCCAGTCGTTAATCCTCTCCGCATTGTCAATCACCTTGATTGTGTGTTCCAGCTCCTCTAGCCTCTTATCCTTCGCACTCTTCATAACAGTAACTCGCTCTTCATCCTCGTCCGATTCAACGGCGGCCTTGGTTGACTTGTAGAACTTGCTCGCACCCTGCAAACCACCATCGTCATCGGAATCACTCTCCTCCTCAGAGGACTCTTCCTCACTAGACTCTTCTTCGCTGGACTCCTCATCCTCAGGCTTATCGCGATCACTGTAGAGCTCCTCCTCGTCAGAAGACGAGCTTTCGCTGTCACTGCCGCCGTGGAAGAAACGAGACATCGTGCTGGTTCAAAGGCCTTATCATGTGCTTCAAGGACCTGACGGAGGGGTTGAAGTTGACGTTTTTTCTGTTGTTCTTCTTTTCTTTTCGCCCTTCAAAAAAACGACAAATCTTGATAAAAAAATCTAAGCGAGGGTCACTAGCTAGATCGGGTTAGCGCGGACTCTTCGATATAAATTTCGGCTTTTCGATCATTTTATATGGAAAAAGGAGAGAAGAAGAACATCGACAGCCTAATGGTTTACCCTTGATGTTCCTTATACTGATTCAGTTTATAAGGATAAATATAAGATGTCAATGGATTATTCTAGGGGATGCTCCTTCGGCTGCTAGGATACCAACAGCCGGATACCACCGTCTACCATATATACAGAATACTCATAAGGGGCTATCAAGACCTCTTCCCCAAGTCTATTGCTAGCCATAGACTCCTGTGTATACGTACGCTATGTCTTCGAGTAAGCGTGCAAATATAAGACGTATATATTGAGATAACTACCAACTCCAACGCTATGGATATAACAAACTAGTAAAGAACCAAGGTAAGAAAGGAAGTTATGAAATGTAGATAAAAGAATAGGAATGAGAAGTAAAACAGCGTATATCAAGCGTTTGCCATCCTCCACCTTGAGGATGACGTTATATCGATAAAATCAATGCTGGAAGAAGAGTATCAAAGAAAAGGATCATAAGGAAACAAGGGGGGCGTATCAAGATAGTATTCTCTCTCTCTTTTCCTTTGTTTCGTTCAAAAGCAGCTCATGGCGGGATGGAGGATGATCTATCCAGCCTTTTTTCTGTCCGTCCATTCATCCCAGCCCAACATACACATAATATACCATCCTCCCTTTTCGTCAAATTTTTGTTCTTGAAAAATCCTCCTCCTTCCTCCATTGTTGCAAATTGCCTCGTCCGTCGTCAACCAAGTTCAATTCAAATCATATCAATCGATTATCCCAATGCCCTAAATCCAAATGGTGCGTGATATAGTAGTGGTCTTCAGTGACCGGCGTCGTAAACGTGCGCGAGACTATGGCTATGTGCAGTTATATTGCATATGCCTTGCGCGGAGTATATAATGTGCTGTAAAGTGTGGAAGGGAAGGGCCGAATGGGGTTTGTAAATGTACAAAACTGAGCCAAACCCCGGGTCTCTAGCTTAAGAATCATTTTCAGCGGCGCCTACGGATTTTTCAGGCTCGCAGTGCGGCGCGTCTGCAAATCTGCAAATCTGTACATCGGCGGGGAGTGAATACTCGGTTGGGGTTGGTCGGAATATATGTGAATGGAAAACAGGAAACCAAAAGCAATCAATGCCACTGATTCTGGTTCATGAAGCCATCTCCCAACGCCCCGTCCTCGAGACTACGTATGAAGTCTCTATTTCGACCATGTGAACCGTTGTTTCTCGCCCGGCTTGTTCGCCTTTGACCACCGGCACCGGAGCTTGACGAGTCAGCATATCCATCTGCTGGGGGTGGGTAGTATGCTGGACTAGGCTGTAGTCGAATAGGCGAGTTGGGGTCCAAATGACTGGCTACACGCTGTATAGATTGTGGGATACCACTTTGTTGCTGGTCCATCGTTGTAGCGCGCTGTCGGCCGGCACGGGTAGTGGCCTGGGCGTACAAGTTCTGAGAACTATATTGTGTCTGCTGTGGTGGAAGTGACATGTGGCCCGTTTGCATGATGGGCATTTGGTAGCCTTGCTGCGTAGGGTAAGGTGGAGGAGGACCCTGTTGCTGTTGCGGCTGTTGTTGCGGTGGCGGAGCTTGTTGCTGTTGCTGGGCAGTATACATGTTATTGTAGACCGGTGGAGGTTGATTGTGGGGGGCGTTGAACTGGTTCATCTGAAGAGCGTAGGCAGATTGGGCGGCGGAGTTTGCTTGGGCCTGGGCTGCTTGGGCGCGTTGCTTCGATGCTGCTTCCGCTGCTTGTTGCTGCTGGACTCCTGGGGCGACAGATTTGTTGATGACGGAGGACTTAAGGTGAACTGGCGGGACAAAAGGTTGGGTGAACTTTTGCTGTGTGATGAAGGGGTGAAGTTTGGCTTGTTGCGGCGACCATCTCTCTAGAGGGTTGATAGATAAGAGGCCGCGAACAAAGTCGATGAATGCAACACGGTTGTTCATCTCTGTTATCGGCGGATTAGCTTCTGCTTCACGAGGGGATAACATACGGGAGTGATATATAGGTACCTCTATCAATTTCAGCTTGCTTCATATTCTTTCTCGGCATCGCGTATGTTCTAATTATTTCCGGTAGTGTGGTAGCCTGGAAATACTTCTTGCTTGGTTGTTCCTTGGTGTTGTGTTCGCGAGAATACTGCTCCATGCTCTTCAGCCTGAAGCTCCGCCGACCAAACTCATCCTGCGTCTTCTCAAAGAATTCACCAGCTTGTTTCCCGTTTTCAAGCATCCATACTGGAGGCAGGCCCAACATTTCTGTTATTCGGGATATTTGGTTGTATCCGATCCGGGGAAGAGAGGGAAGACCGAGGAATAGCTCGACAACGATACATTCAGGGACCACATATCGATTGCCGAGGAGTATCTACATGGATATTAGTAATTATGAAGGTGGATAGTTGAATAGCAATGCTCTGCTTACGGTAATCCGAGAAGGACTTCTGGAGAACGATAGAACCTGGATTGTATATAGGTATAAACAGTCTGTCGTTCGTCACACGCTGATCCAAAATCTATAATTTTGATAATCGGGCTCTCGAGGCTGCCCGGTCGTTAGCTAGTTATCTGAATATCGGAACGCGAGAATATAACGTACTTTTTCAAAAGGATGTTCTCCGGCTTCAGATCGCAGTGTATCAGCCTGGCCTTGTTCAGGAGTGCGAGTCCGTTAAGTAATTGTTGGGCAAACACCCTCACGAGCGTGGTACTCAAACCACGGAACTGGTTCTGTTTGATCAACTCGTAGAGATTAACGCTTAACAGCTCAAACACCAAACATAGATGCTGGCGGTGGATGAAGGTATCCTTTAGCCGGAGTAGATGGTGATCGTCGTTCTTGTCTAGCTTGCTACTTATCTGTTCACTGTTAGCAGATAAGAATGGCACGCATGGTGGGTAACCGAAACATACCAAGTCTAGGACAGAAACTTCCATCATACTCTGGTTGAAGTACGCAGTTCTGTTCTTAATAACCTTTACAGCAATAACTTCCTGTGTCTTGAGGTTCTGGCACTTGACTACTTGTCCAAAGGTTCCTTGACCGAGGACATCGAGGATGAGGTAGCGGTTCCTAGTAGTCAAAGGGTCAGTATGTCGTTGCCAGCTCGACGTATGCAAAGTGTCAAGTGTCTCGTACTTGTGATTTGCCTCCTCGCTGCCGAGAATATCGTTGACGTAGAGGATATAGTCGCTATCATCGTTATCGTAGCCGTCGTTCTTGACACCTTTGCTCGGCTTGGTCAACACACGTCGAGGATTCCTAGATGATTCATACTTGAAGGTCGGGTTGCAAATTCGATACGTAGCAGGCAGGTGCGTCGTGAGTGCTTGCAGAGGCTAGTGTAGATAAGATAACGATTAGCGCTGGACAATAAAAACGGGCAAGTTGCGGGGAAGGAGAAGGGAATGGGACATACGCTAATGAACCCTCCCTCCGGGTTTGCTCGTCGAAATGCAGGTTGCTTGTTTATTCTAGGCTTCAGTTCATTGATAGATTTGATACTCTGGAATTTCGGTACGGGCCCTTTTCCCATCCCTGCGCTAGGACTACCGCCAGCAGATTGAGGCTGATAAGAAATTGGGCGATGAGGCTTGTCTTGGCCAAAGGCGGAATGAAGCTGAAGGGTGGCAGACTGCGGATAATATCTTTCAGGACTCATGTCGTTGGACTGCATAGGAGGCAGGCGTGGTGCGTGTGGTCGTGAGGGTGCAGCTGGAGATGTGTCAGCAAGACGTTCAATGCAAGTGTTTGTTGGGTATCTTGGTTCAGGAAAGTGATCATTGGATCTAGAGCTGAACGATGGACGCTGATACTTTGATCCGTGTACAACGGCAGGGAAAGTGTGAGGTCTCTGCCCAAGCAAGAATGGTGCTCTTGACCCATCGAAGAGTGGAAGGGTGGGAAACTGCTGATTTCGAGATAACTGAAAATAAAACTGGGCTGACAACATACATGGTGGTGACTGATATGACTGAGAACCCGCAAAGTTATTCGTATTGGTAGGCGAAGGGTGTGAGCTCGACTGTGCTGTGGGAGGGAAACCATATGTATTCTGCGACGTGTTTGGACTTATATTATACGGCAAAGTGGGCGAGAGGGCGTTCATGGGCGAATATCTGCGAGCAGCGGAGGAGGTTTCTTCGTTGGCCAGGAATTGCGACGAGTTTCGCTGGTGCGCGGGCGGTCGAGCGGCATATTTGGCTCTGTTGTACGGGTCCGCGTCTTCCATGTGAGTGTCCTGATCGAGGTCGCGAGCGTTGGGCGTGCCCGAACTGGTGCCGGTGCCAGATGGAGAGGGAGCCATGGAGGTCGGTCTGAGGCTCGGAGGCACCTTGGACACGCTGCCTGGCGGCTGGTACGTCTCGTAAGTGAAGCCGCGAGGTGGCTGGTGTGTCTGTCCCTGGTCAACGGTTGTCGGGCCAGCGCTGGGAGTAAACTGCCCAGGCTTGTTTCCCGGTATATCAGAGTAGTTCTGCCACTGTGGCTCCATCTTTGGACTCAATATGGTTTGTTATGTCTATCTTGGATGGTCTGGCTGTCTGAGGCGTGTTTATCCAGGTGGCTTTGTTGTCAAGGTGAAGCGATTGTGAAACAACGCCGTGCTGTCTATACGTCCGTCACGGAGAAGACGGAGCAACTGTGTACCTGGAGTTGTGTATGTCTCGGCTTGCGGGTATGTATGCGAATCGAGGCAACGGATGAGAATAGACCGTTGCGACTTGGGGGTTATGTATATTAACGAGGTGGGCGAAAAAACGTCTTAGCAATGCATCATCGGACCAGCCAGGCATCAACGAGCTTGCAGCCGCAGGTAATTGCAGAGTACAAAGGTCAGCGTCGAGCCATACACCAGAGCATGGAATAGAGAGAGAGAGAAACAGTCGATGGCGGTGGTAGTCGATGTGGTGGTGACAGGTGGAGGTGGTGGCGGCTGGGGGGAAAGCGATAACGACCCAAAGGAACCCCAAAAGCAGACTGACTCGAGGGCGTCCCTTGACTTGAGCCTCGTCTGTCTCTCCAGCTGTCCGTCCGTCGTTGTTCTGCTTGTCCCTCTGGTTGGTGATGGCGATGAAGAGGTTGAAGAGGGAGAAGAGGGAGAAGTTGAGGTTGAAGTTGAAGGTCGATAGTTTTTTTTTTTTTTTTGGCGAAGTCAGCAGTCTTTTTTGCTCTTCCAACTACAACTACGATAACTACAGACAGCCAGCATTATATATACGCACGAGATGATGAGATGACGGCGAGGGGATGATACTGGATAGATGATGCTTCTCTTGGATGCTTCATACAGAGTACAGACACGGCTTGGGTAGATGTACTTGTGCCTCCTACAGCCCAAGCACTGTCGAGCTGCCTGATAAACAGAAGCAGACGTGAAGAAAAGAAGAGAATTAAAGAGACCAGCGAGTCTAGCTACGTCTTGCGTGAGAAGAGCTGGCTCTCTTTGCTCGCCTTTCTTCGTCAGTATCTTCCCTAGTTATTGTCTCTACCAACATCCAACATCCAACGTCCAACATCCACTTATAAAACCCCAGAAATAAAACGCATAAACCGCATCACTAACAGCCTTCAAGCCTTCAAACTTCGACCAAGATGAACAAATACGAACCATGACTAGAGCTGACTAATCTCGTATAGCTGCATCTTGGTAGCTTTGAAGCGATAAAACCGATAGAAGGACGAGAAAATCGAAAAAGAAAGGCGAGATCGAAGCAGAGAAGTAGAGAAAAAGAGAAATGAAAGACAGTCGATGGTATGTTCGACCTCTACTGAGATGTAGAAAGCTTCTGATCGTGGACTCGATATATCAGCCGTAAGAGTTCGCCTCTGAGAAAGCTAGGCAGCTAGGCAGCTATCTACATATTCTATTTCTACAGAGTATCAAAATACATCCACCAGCTCTGTTCCACTATGGCGGACACGGAACCAGATGGAGTGCGTTCAGCAGAGACGTCTGATGGTGTACAAGCTGCACTTGACGAAGCTTCGCAGCAAGACGTCCAGGGCACCGACGAGTCTAGCCGTCTGAGAGCCCTCGATGCTGACATTAGAGACCAAGATGACCTGGAGAGAGACATCACACGCCAGGTGCGTCAGACTGATATGTTCATCCCTCGTTTTAAACCGATCTAACTGGTCGATAGGCCGATAAGATATTAAAGGAACAGGCTAATGAGCGAGATATACGGCGTCTCGAACGGACCAGGCATGAGAAAGTGTATGTTCCTACCCCTGGCCTTTTAATTCCGCCTCATTCTAGCTATTGACAGGTTTTATCTGGTACAGAAAGATTGAGTCGCAGGTTCTCAGGCTCCATCAGCGGCTCTCTGAACCTATAGGTACCTCTGCGCGGGTAAAGTATGAAGCGGATATCAAGAATGCCGAAAGCCGCTTGACGCAGTTAGAGACCGACCTAAAGGAAATACAGCAGCGTATTGAAGAGCGAGACCGGGAAGAGGATGATACTGGTGTCGGCCATGAAGAAGGTTCGGCGGCCAGGAGGCTGCCTAGCGAGTCACGAAGGGACTATCTTATACGCACTGGTAAGATTACGCCCTTTTCGCGCATGGGAGGTGTAAGGGGAGACGACATGGCCACGACATTACAGGGTGCCTTGTTCGAGGCGGAGGATGAACGGGATGAAGAGATTGCGCTTGAAGAAGCGGGTGGACAGCCTGTCGCTTCCCATAGACATTTGATGAAGCCCGGATTCGATGATGGGCATTTTGAAGAAGCTACCAGACCGTCGAAGAGACGGAAGGTGACTGGTGGTTCGAGTCTGGCGCTTAGCTCGCCCGCTAGATCGGACGAAGAATATGTCGACCCTGATGCTGAAGCAGATGAGACAGAGGAAGAGTCCGTAGATGAGGAAGAGCAGAACTCAGATGAGTCGACCGTACGAGCTCGAAAGAAGAAAGGCAAAGGAAGAGGAAAGGGGAAGTCCACGGGCGTTATCGAAGACTTCAAGGGGGTAGATGACGGAGACGAGAGAGTCTACCAGTCACGGCTGCGAGACTGGGTACATAGACGGTCTGAAGCTCGCGACCGTGCAAAACTAGAAGCCCTACACCTTTCTGGAGAGGACAGGAACCCCCAGCCGGGCGATGATGCCCAGTCCTCTGGAGGACAACAAGAAGAATGGCATCTTCCGCACCCAACCACACCTGACACAGTACTTGATGGCGGCTATCAGCTTCCTGGGGACATATACCCGTACCTCTTTGACTATCAAAAGACTGGCGTTAAATGGCTATGGGAGCTCTATCAGCAGCAGGTCGGCGGTATAATAGGTGACGAGATGGGTCTCGGTAAAACCATACAGGTCATTGCCTTCCTGGCTGGCCTACATTACAGCAAGAAGCTAAAGGGTCCTATCATCGTTGTCTGCCCACCCACTGTCATGAAGCAATGGGTTAATGAGTTTCATGACTGGTGGCCACCTTTCCGCGTCTCCATACTACACACCTCCGGAATCGGGATGGTCAATCTGAAAAGCGAAAGCCAGGCCGAAGACCGCTACACCTCAGGTGCATGGGGGGACCGGAATTCGACTTCACAAAGGGGCGGCAAAGCTGCTCGCCGCATCTTGAAACGAGTGTTGGAAGACGGTCATGTACTGGTAACTACCTATGCGGGGCTACAGACATATTCCTCTCTCCTAATACCTGTAGACTGGGGTATCGCCGTGCTGGACGAAGGCCACAAGATACGTAACCCCGACACCTCGATCACCATCCACTGCAAGGAACTACGTACCTCCCACCGCCTAATTCTCTCTGGTACGCCAATGCAAAATAACCTAACCGAACTATGGTCGTTATTCGACTTTGTCTTCCCCATGCGTTTGGGCACGCTAGTCAATTTCCGGAACCAATTCGAGTTCCCCATTCGAACCGGAGGGTATGCCAATGCCTCTAACCTACAAGTTCAGACGGCAGCAAAGTGTGCAGAGACGCTCAAGGATGCCATAAGTCCATACCTACTCCAGCGGTTCAAGATGGATGTTGCAGCCGACCTGCCTAAGAAAAGTGAGCAGGTTCTCTTCTGTAAACTCACGAAGGTACAAAGAGCGGCTTACGAGGCATTCCTAGCCTCGGGGGAGATGTCCTCCATTCTGCGTGGACGGAGAGAAGCACTTTACGGCATCGACATGTTAAGGAAAATATGCAACCACCCTGACCTCACGCAGCATAAGACCTTATCGCTGAAAACGGATTATAACTACGGCAGCGGCGCAAAGTCAGGAAAGATGCAAGTTGTCAAATCACTATTGGAGCTGTGGAGGGATACAGGACATAAGACGCTACTGTTTGCTCAACATCGAATCATGCTCGATATCCTTGAACGCTTCATCAGGGGGTTTGACAGGTTTAATTATAGGCGTATGGATGGGAATACACCTATAAAGGTCCGTCAGACTATGGTGGATGAATTCAACAACGACCCAAGTCTACATGTTTTCCTCCTCACTACAAAAGTAGGTGGATTGGGCGTGAACCTCACGGGTGCAGATAGGGTCATTATCTACGATCCGGACTGGAATCCTTCTACAGACGTGCAGGCTCGTGAGAGGGCCTGGAGGCTGGGGCAAAAACGTGAGGTGACTATCTATCGGCTTATGACCGCCGGTACGATTGAGGAGAAAATATACCATCGACAGATATTCAAGCAGTTCCTGACAAACAAGATTCTTCGGGACCCCAAGCAGCGCCAGACTTTCCAGATGAGCGATATGCAGGATCTCTTCACGCTTGGAAACGATGGGCCCACAGAGACGAGCCAGATGTTCAAGGACGCAGACGTCGTGTATGAAGATGATGCTGCAAAAAGTAAAGATGCTAGGCCTACCAGCCACCAGCAGCAACAACGACGACGACGACAGGCTGAGAATAAACCTGTCAAGGAAGAAGACCGGAGGATCAGCCAGGTCACTGGCGTCGCGGGCTTGGAAGAATATCAAGGCGAAGCAAGCTCGCCAGGAACCCCTCAACAGGAGAAAGAAGGCGAGGAGCCTAAGTCCAAGGCTGAAAAGCCAAACACAGACGCTCGCTTGATCGAGAGTATATTCTCTCGTTCCGGCGTTCTCTCTGCCCTCGAACATGACCAGATCATCCACGGCAAGCGAACGGTCAAAGCAGACCCGAAAATCATCGAGACAGAAGCTAAGCGTGTCGCAGCAGAGGCAGCCAAAGAGCTTCTCAAGGCAGAAGAAGTTGCTCGCACTGTGCCTGTCGGCACACCCACTTGGACCGGTCAGTTTGGCACTGCAGGGCGTCCGGGCCAGGATGTGGCGCCGTCCGGCACCTCTTCTATCTACTCTGGCGGCGGGAGTACGGTCCGTCGAGCCATGGGCGGACCATCATCTGCTAATCTGCTCGCGAATCTTGCCAACCGCAGTGCTAGAGGGGGCAGAGTAGGCACTCCGTCTGCTTCTACGTCTGCTTCTACGTCTGCTTCTGCATCCGCGTCTGCGTCTGCGTCTAGGTCCGGTACACCGAGGACTGGAACGCCAACGGGCAAGGACTTTATGGTTATGATACGCGACTATATCATCACGCACGGCGGGTCGGTCTATACACAGATGCTGGTAGACCATTTCAATCGATTCTGCGACTCTCCTCGGGCAACGGCGGAATTCAAAGAGATTCTCCGGACGATTGCTTTCCTCGATAAGTCGGGAACGGGCACACGGGCGAGAGGCAAATGGGTCCTGAAGCCCGAGTATGCTAAGAAGTGATTCCATAGCTACATAGTAGTCAAGATATCCTTGCCCATCGCCTATCTATATACTTCTTCTCCCTCCTTCAATCTTTTTTCTATATATATAAAATCGATATAAAATATGAAACTTGCGTATCAGGGGTAACAATACTGTAACTTATCCACGTGACTCACATTATATCTCCAGCTTTCAATAGCGTATTGACCTACTCCCGTCGTGTATCGTACTGTCACGTAGATCTACGATCTTTTTTTTTACTCCAAGACTTTGTCTCACTTTTTCTTTTGCAAGACAACAACATCAACTCTCGTTTCTCTGCATCCTCGACAAGGGCTGCTCTTTTTTTTTTTTTTTTGCTTCTCTTCAGGTTCTTTTTTTGCCTTGTCTGCTCGTTGCTCTTGTATATTCGAGTTCGTTTTGACCATATAATTAATCCTCTACCTTCGCTGCCGCCGTTTGTACTCTTCGTTTGCGTTTTACGGCGACCTCCTTAATCATCATCACTGAGGACCTATCGTCAACGAGCCTCTAACGCTGTGGAAGGAACATACAAGGACATTCACATAGCTCAACTAGCCTTGGAGAACGGCCTCGACGTTACCTACTCTCGTTATCGAAGCGCCTCCCGGTCGAACGGCCTCCTACCGACGCCATAGAGGCTGCCAACGAGAGCAGCTTGAGCAGGTCCACCAGCGTCCTTGCCTCGAATAATCTAACTGAATAGCCGATAATATTGCAAGAATGAAGTCGATTAAAGTCACTTTCGTTCTCCTCTCCCTTGTGATATTACTATCACTCGTTTCGGCATACTCCCCTCCACAGAACACCGGAATTGCCATAAGAGCAGACTGTAAGCCCCATTGAGGCCCTTCCCTACAGTTTTACCGTCTAACTAATCGTTTTAATAGCGTCATCCGGAGATTCAAGCCAAACAGGCAAGCCGACTCAGACGAGTCAGAGTAACAGCGAGAGTTCAGGGTCAGGCAGCGGAAGCAGCGAAAACACTAGTGATAAGCCTACCCCAACTGAGAAAGATGGAAGCTCCAAGACAAATGACAAAGGAACGAAGACGACCAAAAAGCCCACGAGCACCTTTGTCGACCCCCGAAAACCACCTGGTGGTATTGTTATGGTCACACCTGGCGTCTTTGACCCATCTACTTACGTCAAGATCGGAGACAAGGCTACCTTTGCGTGGAATTACACTTCTCTCGTCATAACGCCATCTGCCGTCGATGTCGTTGCGTACTGCCAGCAAAACGATCATTACTACACCATTACTTCCAACAAGACGGTGGAGGAAACTGGAAGGGTTGTCTGGGATACCGAACCGTATAAGACTGCTGGTGTCCGTCTTCTAGTCGAACATTATACTCTGATTGTACACGATGTCAAGCGCGGTCCCACTGACCCTGCACCAGCCGGTGAGCTGGGAAACTCCAGACCTTTTATCTTCGGAGTCTACTCCCCCCACAGCGACCCTAATCTCAGAAGTACGTTTAAGCATATCCTAGCTTATCATTCTACTTGCTCTAACATTATTTTCCTTATAGAACGAGCCATGGGCAGCGCAGCCATCTCCGCCACTGAGCATCAAGCTCTCTGGTTCATGTTTGGCATGGTTGGAATCACCATTGCCTCATTCACCTGGTTTGCCAGCGGACTAGGCCTATTTGCTTAAGATACGAAACCCAGCCTTCAGCTTATCATCTACTGACACGACTTTTTACCCCTGAATTATTAAGAATTTTAACTCTACAATTTTGAACTTTTATCTACTTATTGATGCCTGCCTCTTTGGGATTGACTGCTAGCGACGTTTCCTTCTACTTCCCCCCATATTTATCATTCTTGATGCCTTGTGTTCTAACTACGGATATAAGAGTACCTTTCAAGATACTTCTCCATTTTCCCCCCGTCTCCCCTTCCTTCGATAATAGTGCACTTGATAGGGCTGGGTTGGTCTGGTTGAGGCTGTATATAACACCTATATCTTTCGTGTGGAGTTTTGTGCTTCGGGGTTTGATTGAAAGGAATTTGATGATGAAAAAAAGCAGATGTTTTGCACAATAATAACTGAATACATGCTGCTAGCAAATCATCTCGGTCCCGTTAGTATTGGCTATACTCTAGACTGTGGGGGCAAATGTGCTTGTTGTGGATGCAACTGGGCTGGTTTGGTATTAATCTAGACTGAAGATCTCTGGATGGCAAACAAAAAACGCATCCATCATGCATGGCAGGGCAAGTTTGGGAGATCAACGTTGCCCTTCCGTCCTCGCGCATTTAAGTCTAGGTAGGGAGATCGACCGGATGGAGGTAGCATGGGCGTTATAAAGAATTATCCGGTTGGCGGAGCCGTATACTGCCAGCCGTAGGCATTTTCATACATGTACATACATTAATGTTTGTTTCATTCTTACAATTAAAGCAATTCCTTTACGAGATGCATCAAACTATCCATGATCATCAGGATGGGAAACATGATAAACAGAGAGGCCGAGTTGTATGTTTGGTTGTTTGCTGGATAAATGAAGTTAATCTAGGTAGGCTCTGTTAGGTAAATGGCGAATATACATCGATGACTGGGCGGTACTGGGTAGTCATATGCTAAAAAAGATGACAACTTTCTGTCTTTTTGAGTAGATGGGCGGTGAGATGCAGAGTGTGTGTTTTATCTAGGGGTGATCTATCGGTTTGGTTTGATGGTATATATATTAATGGCGAAGTAGAAGGCAAAAAGGGGAGAAGACACAAACCAACTTCATCCTGATATACTCTAAACCTTTAGAAGTTAACGTGTTTTGATCTTCTGGCGCGAGGCGACCCTTCCTTTGCCTGACTCAAACTCCTTATTGTCGTAGAAAATCCAGTTCCTCGGGATAAGAAATCCTTGGATCCCATGGTGTCCTATCGCCCACGACATCAAATAGGCTGGATATGGCCTAAGGATCCTCAGCCAGGAAATCCACTAAAGTGGCCGATTGGGAGGAGGTTGAAGGATGTTCTCTCCAACAAAGGCCCAGATATGTTCATTGGGCGTATCGACAAGGCTAATTCTACTCCACATACACCTCGATGGTCAAGATGGCACGATCTATATGGCTGGCAAGGAGATGGTGACGAAAACATGTTACCACCCATATTGCCATTCTCTGATCGAAAGCTGAAAAGATACGATTTTCGAACGAGAAAATATCGGAACCCAGACGAGAAGTCTTGGAGCTTTGTGGAATACCCGGATAATAACGAAAATGGCAATATAAGCACACCGATTACTGTCTGGGATACCGCTGGAATACAATATTCATATCCCCACTGGCAGCTCCACTATGGAGAAGGGGACTGGAATTGGCACTAGAGGCTTGTTTTGTGGGTTTAGGCGGCGTTGTGTTGTGTGGAGGTACTCAGGAGGCATTGTGGATGGAATGGTTCCCATATTGTTTTGGAGCTGTCGTTGGGTACAGTTACTGTCTTTGGATTCCTGATGGTAGGAAGTTGAGCATTGGCTTGGATCATTTTCCTGCATGCGACACAAGGGGACCTCTTTATGTCGGTGTATGAAGAAATCATTTCCTGTTGTAAGAGGTTAGGCATTCGCGATCAATATGCAAAGCATGAAATAGAGGTATGAACGTACCAGGAGATACTGGAGATCCCATTGTCGCTGCCGTGACTGAATATAATCTAAGATTTCCAATGCCAACTTTGACTGATTCTGCTGAAACCCTGTATTGACATGCCACATTTCCGAGTCATGTCCAATGTTACCACGAAACCTCTGCACGTAAAAAGTAGTTGATATGCTCTGTAGGTCCACGGAAAATCGCTCGGCGTCGTCTGGTGAGATAATATGTAGAGTGATGCCGGGGATATTCCTCATTTTGAAAGTTTCAACTATGCCCTTCCAGCCTCCAACTGCTGACTCTAGCTTCTCCTTCTCAAGCTTATCCTGCTGCATCGCCTTCATTTCTTGCATTTGCTTTTCATCCCTATCATGGGATGCAAGAACTTCTTCATAATCACACTCCCATATGTTGCTCATATGAGGGTACTCTCCATTCCGATCCCTGAGCCTTGCGTCCACTCGATCAAGGATCTCAGTCATCTCAGGTGAATTCCACGAAGTTTTGAAGCTCTCAATCTCAGCCATGCCGCTGCGTGCTGACTGTGATAGTTCCTGACATAGCTCCTGGGGAGACTTTTGATATTTGTCACACCCTGGAGGCTGGGTTATCACGGGTTTCAGAGGGCCTAGCAGACGCCCCGGAAGAAGGTTTCGGAGTTGATTTATCTATGATTGATCAGCTTAGATTCATACCAGGCTAACTGTCGAGACAGTAAAACCACACAACTTACTTTACCATGCATCTGCTGCAGAGTGCACAGCGCGGACACCAATCGCCGTTCATCGCCCCAGTCATCATGGCTGTTGGCGTCCACCATCTGTGAATCTTCAGCTAGCCCCGTTTTGACTGCGTTGGCGTCTCCTAGCATGTTCGGAGGGGGGGCAGCCGGTTGACCAGAAGCTGTGTGGTTTCCAGCTACCTGAGGATTCATTGTCATACAAACTGAAGACGGCTCTCTCTCCTTCTTCTGTTTAGACAAGGGTATCACTAGGAACAGGCGGAGCTGCCGGCGCTGTATCTGTCCACTAGACCAACAAAGCCTATCCTATTATCCGTATTACCGTATTATTCTGTTGGTTGGTCATTATCATCAACCCTTTTGCTTCTTCCTTCAAAATGAACGATGTCAAAAGATAGATGTCACGTGAATTAAAGTGCTTACTAAGGCACACCCCGGCCTTTTTTTCTTCCTTCTCGACTCTCAACCAAGAATAACTAAATAGAACAAGCTACTATGTAGCTCTTCTCTAATGGCGGTCAACCTGAAGGAGACTTGGCTTTTATACTGTGATATCTTCCCCCGTACAAGACGAGAAGAGGCGCTGCTGTCCATTGTCCTGACGCAGAGGTAACAAAGCCCTCCCAACCATACCGCAGGACCCACGGATTTGCCCGCTGACTGATATCATAAACTTGGCAGCGAGAGATTCCTTATCGGCACGCTATCTCGAAGCGACCCAAACGACTCATAACATTCGATATAAGTTTAGGACGAATTCCAAGACGGCTGTTGGGCTCCATACTACTCTGTGCAGTGCAAGCTTACCTTTGCTTGGTTTGACATATCTGAGAAAGGGCTTACCTACGAGAGTGGCTGGCTTTTGCGATGCTGTCATCCTTACAGTCTTCACCGGCAACCAGTACCTCTGCTCTGGCCTCAGATGCTGCCTTAGGAACACATAATGAAAGCCTAGGGAACCACCAGACAGATGGATCTTGTTATTCAGCGTTTGAGAATCGGTTGCGTTCTCGATCTATTCAGTTCAACACCTCGCGGACTGATGCTGCGCTGCGGGAACGATCAACGGCCAGCTCAAGAAAGAGCAGTCTGAGGAGGATACCGTCTCCGCCGCCTCCAAGGTACGTTAGTTTGTCATGAGCTAAGGATACCTTCTTTACTCTCTCCTCTCGTTCCTCTTTCTTTCCCGCGAGCCTCTTGGAGTCGCTGGGGTGCTTGGAGGCAATGTTCTGTATGTGGGTGGCCGAACTTTGAACCACAAAATATTCGCGCTGCTATTGATACATACATTATTCTCCTCCCTTGCATTAGCTTGTTTTCATATTGGGATTCAGTGCTCTGATTTTGAAACGCTGTGACTAATGCCCTGCCTCGAGCCGGAGACGATTCTGATTGTATCTTATTTCGTTAAGATATATACTGCTATATCTCTTGAGAAGCTCAACTTGCAAATGCATTAATTATCTGGCCCATGGCTAGCTTGACGAGCTATATGTACTAATAACATTATTCTAGCTCCTACAATCGTGGAGTTTCGTTTGATACCTTCGACAACCGAGATGCGACCGAATATTCGTTGACCTTAAATTACAAACACAAGGATTATAGGAATACGCGCCGCAGTCGGACATTTCTCTGTGGCACAGACCAGAACGATTATTCCGATTTTGCTCTGGAATGGCTGATCGATGAGCTAGTTGACGATGGAGATGAGGTTGTGTGTTTACGGGTTGTAGACAAGGACTCCAAGATTGCGAGTGACTCCGGCGTGGAAGAAGGTAGATATAGGCAGGAAGCAGAGAAGCTACTCTCACAGGTGATTGCAAAGAATAGGCAGGATGAGAAGGCCATTAGTTTGGTCATGGAACTGGCAGTGGGTAAAGTTCAAGAGATCATTCAGCGGATGGTATGTGAGCATCCATAAAACCTAAGACTGTAGCCTTTTTATGCTAACATGTTAACTTAAGATTCAAATATATGAGCCAGCAGTGCTTATTGTGGGCACCCGAGGTCGTAGCCTTAAGGGGATGCAGGGTCTACTCCCCGGCTCTGTATCTAAATACTGTCTGCAGCAATCGCCCATTCCCGTCATCGTTGTTAGGCCTTCGAGTAAGCGGGAAAAGAAAAAGCAGAAACGACTAGCCGCTGACCCTGCTAGAAAGAGCTACAACCACTTTTTGAAGATGAGTGAGGCTCGTGGAGGCTTGACTATTGATTCTTCGCCCAGTGGGAACAGTAGCACGTCTAAACTTCCGGGAGAAGAGGGAGAGACAGGTGAAGCTTCTACAGTAGCTCATACTATCAAAGCTTCTTCTACCAACGGAGATACGGAGGATCACGATCACGATTCTCAGTCCTCCGTACCGAAAGACGCTGGCGTTGATAATGATGATCCAACGGGAACTAGAAGTAACTCTACAGTCACCAACCCTGAATCGCCAAGTACTGAACTTTCCGGAGGAGCTCTAAAGAGCCCGTCCTTGCCCGTCATGGAGAGCCCTAACCTGAGTGCTAATGATGATGATGAGGACGAAGCCGAAGAGGAAGACGAGGATGATGCCGGTGAAGGTGATGTTACCTATACAGATGCAAGTTCTCGGTTAACTGCTGCGACCTCGGTCACCGATACCTGCACGGGTGACTTAGCGGAGGAAGAGGCGGCATCAGCCACTCTGCCCAACACTATGTTAGCTGCAGAAACAGAAACTGCAGATCCCGCAGAGAATGGTAATCACAATGCTGAAAAGGTCCCAGACGATAGCAATATTCGCTTATCCGGTAATGAAGCTGTCGACACCTCGCATCTCGGCTCTCCCAAAGACGCAACTGCTGCCACGTCTCCAGCCACTGTCGAACAGCCAGATGATAAAGCTTGAAACTTTGGAAGTACCAAAGACAGCAGAATAATTTCGGTCTAGGCTCGATTCTATATAGTCATCTCTCCAATCCGTCCTACTCTATCTGTGCAAGAATCCATGCGCCTCATTGTACGGAGTACTCCTCAGGCTTTCCTTAACCTCTTCTCTCCTCCCTCTCGAGTTTCGTTGGATACCTGTTCCAAGGTCTCCTTGAGCCAAAGTTTTTCTTTTGCTAGCATATTTTGATGCAAGTGTTAGGTTCGATATTCTCCGATGTTCTTGTCAAGCCCTCTCTCTTCGTGTAATGCAATAATGCAATTGTTTTTTTTTTGGCGTTTTGATGGCTGGGAATTCGAAGCAACCTGATCTTTACGAATGGCTGCTTTCCTCCAATTTTCTTCTTCTGCAGCCACGACTTGTTTACTCCATACATAGTACCTGTTTCTCCCTTCTGCCAGCCAAGTGCACGACCGTTGGATTTGCTTTTCTTGATGCAAGAAGAGCTCTAGTTTGCTGTGTTACAAACATAAACATCGGTTTCAACATACGCTGTCGTGTACTCCGTAGAAATTGTTTATTCAGTGCTCTCTGTCCATCGTGGCTGGATTACAACACGAACTGGCCAACCTGACTGACTACATCTTGTGTACATAGTAAAAATGCAAAGCAAAAGGACCTGCAAGCAAAAACTCCTCGCCTTCAGTACGATTTCGAGATATATTTCTTTTTTCTCCTCTCAACTTTTGCTTCTTCTGGAGTTACCGGGCCATGGTCACGTGAAATCTAAGCCTTCAGCTTGCATCTTTCTCTTCCTTTTCCTTTTGTTTTGTAGTTATATTAAAGAGAAAAAGAAAATACCGAGAAGGAAGCTCGCCATGGCCAATAGTTAGCTGCAGCCGAAGCAGCTGAGTCTATGGAGTTCGCATGTTCATGACGTACCCCAGTATCGATGGCGTCGCGAATTGCTTCCCTTGGAATGGAATCCATCGGGACAATACCTTGCAGACCAAAAATCAGAAGCAGCCTCAGCCGCAAGGATGGCGCATATGTTTTTATGGAGATGATAGCACCTGTTCGGTGGACGCCTTCGAGATGTTGATAAGAGGAGCTTGCAAGGACTCTTGAAAAGAGGCAATTGGAAGGGTTTCATGCTGGGTTTGATCATCCTCTGCCTGGTAAAGTGCACTCAGCAAGGTTGGAAGGCGTGCATAGCTTTGAAGGGGCTCGTAACCAAGCGTATCTTTGGTGCATTAGTGAAGGTCCTGATATCCATGCCAAAAGCTGTCAAGAGGGATCCTCCGCGTACACAATACGGGGGTGGTGGGAAGACATCCTGGTCCAGGAAAAAATGTCCATTCGGGGCCCATGACAACCTTCATACCTCAGATAATTGCAGAAACGATACCACTGTCAGGATATATACTTTACACTGGCACAGACAGTGCTCTCCAAATGGTTCCGCCGCTAGTCGGTTGGATATAAAACCGTACCTTCAGGTTTTACCAATCAAGCCATCAGCCCAGACAACCCCACCTCTAACAATCGACAGGACTGCCAGTGATGAAACTCGTACTCTATGCTTTTTTTTTATATAGAAAAGACTTCGTTGTCCATCCGTTGGCTACAATTCTATTTCGAGATTTACCCGAGTTTTTTTCAATATCGGCTTATGGTTTCCTCGGTTGTGAGTCAACTGGGCCCCATAGCAGGCTACCCTTGGAGGATTTGTCGGAATATACGACGATAAGCTCAAAAGCTGAGATCTGGTTTTTGAGGTCTTGTGTGCCCTTGTCTGTCCCGCTTTCCGGGTCCATCTAGAGGGTTGCTTTCCATACATAGTATTACATCTCGGGAACATCTTACTGTGGCGTACGGAACATGCAGCACGGGCATATTCCTGGCATATGGTTAATTCCAAAGCTCAATTGAGAGAAGTTTCTATTCGAATGACCCACAAGCTAGAAAGCTATGAGCTGCTAAGCTTGTAGCTGAGGTTAAAACTGAAATTCCGTCATTTGAAATACAAAATGGATGAACTTCCATCTTTACCCCCCATTCTCACGGAGCGGCAATGCAAACCGTTGCTTCTACCCTTTCATTAACCGCATGATAATATAAGAAAGAGCTTTTATTGACACTAAATAGGCCGGGGATCATTTCTGAAATTCTTGAGACGATGGCACCTTACCTATCTGCGGAAGCAGAAACCCCGGTAGCGGTTAACCAATTCGATAATCCCCTCTCTTCAAAAGGGCCAATTGTACAGGTTAATGAGAAATCTGCCCAGCTCTGCCTTAAGCTATCCCCTGAGCTTGAGGAATTTTGTACCAAATCCGGAATCACCTCCCACAAGATCCTTCTATCCGCCTGGGCTATCACGCTCAGTTATTATACGGCTTCTGAGACCGTCACTCTTGGAGGTACAGAATGGCAAAGAGACGGGACCTGCTACAATATAAGGTATGAAGTGGGATTGGATGACGATACACCCCTTCTTCGTGCTGTTGAGCAGTTTCAAACCAGCTCATATTCCGGCTCAACTGAAGATACCGATGAAGCTTCTCCTGGGATGAAAATGGTTGATACATTTGTGGTACAAAAATTATCAAATTCAGGACTACCAGTTGATAACCGCCCTGCCTTCAAGATAAGGGGATGTAAAACTCCTCTCTCGGTATGTATAGATTGGGCCAATTAGCAACCGAGGGGATTATGCTAACTAGATATTCGTCAATAGGACACCGTCATCGTTGATGTAGTCAACAGAGGGCTCACGGAACAAGTGGAATTGGATGTGTACCTTAATGAATCGTTAGGGAGACACCTCACTAACATGTCGAGAACTTTTCAACAAGTTGTAGCCGAAATGCTCCTTAAACCTACTGGGAAGTTGGGGGATCTGAATCTATGCAACACATGGGATATTACAACTCTGGCGATGTGGAATGGTGAAATATCAACAGAAGGCTCAGATAAGTGCCTACATGACTTGATAAGCCTTCGGTGCGCCGAAGACCCAGACTATCCCGCAGTACAGTCCTGGGATGGAAACCTGTCATATGGACAGCTTGACGAGTTCTCATCTATTCTAGCTGCCCGGCTTTCTGCCTCCCATCCTAGCGTTGGCCCTGAGAAATTTGTTCCGTTGTTATTCGAAAAGTCCAAATGGGCCGTGGTATCTGTACTCGCAGTGGTTAAAGCGGGTGCAGCATTTGTATTATTGGACCCATCGCTACCGCTTAAACGCCTTGAGCATATCTGTCGCCAGGTCAAGGCTACGGTAGTAATTACCTCTCCTCAGAATTCTAAACTTGCCGGTGCTTTGGAAATCCCGATTTTTATTGCCAGCGAGAAAAAAGTTGCCACCCATAGCCCTATGTCTTGTTCTGGGCCTTTGGTTCGCCCGTCAAATGCACTTTATGCAATTTTCACTTCTGGCTCAACAGGAAATCCAAAAGGAATTGTTATTGAACATGGTTCTTTCCTCTCCAGTGCCCTCGCATATATCAAAACCGTGGACCTAAATCGAAGCTCTAGGGTCTTGCAATTTGCATCCTACGCATTCGACGTTAGTGTTTCTGATATATTGTACAGTCTACTGTCTGGTGCTACTCTCTGTATCCCTTCGGATGCTGAGCGTAACAATAATTTAGTAGAGCTGGTTGACCGCTTGAAACCGAACTGGATGGACCTCACACCGTCTTTCTTGAGATCACTTTCACCTGCGGACCTTTACAGTGTTAAGACCATCGTTCTAAGCGGCGAAGCGATGACACAAGATGTTATTGCTAAATGGGACAGTGAAGCACGCCTGTTGAATGTTTACGGGCCAGCTGAATGTTCAGTTCAGACCACCGTCCAGACTTCCGTTGCAGCTGACCCAGTGAATATCGGCTATGCGATCACTGGAGCCTCCTGGGTAGTTAGTCCATCAGACCATAACCGGCTGATGCCGATAGGCGCCATTGGAGAGCTCTTAATCGAAGGAACTCATGTTGGGAGAGGGTATATAGACAGCCCGGAAAACACTCGTAAGGCCTTTATCCGGAGCACAGAATGGCTCCCTGAATTCCGCATGGACCATAAGGCACTTTATAAGACTGGTGATCTAGTCCACTACCAGCCAGATGGCTCTCTTCGGTACATTGGCCGGAAAGATACCCAGGTGAAACTGCGTGGACAGCGCATTGAATTAGGTGAAGTGGAGCATTATGTTCGAGAGTGCTTCACTGAGTCTAGGGATGTTGTAACAGAAATGGTGAAGCCGCAATACGAGGGCGGAACACCCATGCTCATTGCGTTCGTGTATTGCCCTGGAGAGAGAAACGGGCGGAATGGCAATGAGGTAGGAAAAGACACCTTATTTGCCCAGCCAGATGATTCATTCCGCGGCCACAGTGCCGCGGCTAGAGAGAAGATGGCAAATAATCTTCCAGTCTATATGATTCCAAGTGTCTTCATCCCATTGCTTCGTGTTCCTCTTTCGTCCACGGGCAAAACGGATAGAAAGCTGTTACGATCCCAGGCTGCTGCTCTATCCCGAGCCAATTTGGATTCTTACTCAGTGAATATCAACAAGACACGAGTCCCACCATCGTCTGACATGGAGAAATGTTTGCACTCGGTTTTCGCGGAAGTCCTCAACTTGTCTCCCGAAATACTCGGCATTGACGATGACTTTTTCCATAGCGGTGGAGATTCCATCACTGCTATGCAGGTCATTAGCCAGTGCCGGAAGCAAGGGATAGCACTCGCTCTTGGTGAAATATTCCGCTTGAAGACAATTATAAAGATTGCAAAAGGCGCTTCTTTTGGAGCTACTTCTTCCTTATCCCGTCAACAGCAAGAGGACCAGGTTGGAGTACCATTTGGCTTGTCTCCAATCCAGGACATGTATTTTGAAGACTGCCCTGAAGGCCACAATGACTTTAACCAAAGTTTTTTCCTTGCTTTTGCCCGACATGTTGGAGAGGTAGAATTGATGAGAGCCATGGAGCTTCTGATTACCCGTCACTCAATGCTCAGAGCCCGCTTCCATCGTTCTAAGGAAGGAAAGTGGACACAGTCAATTTCCCAGGATGTGGTAGGTTCCTACCGATTAGAAAGCCATCGGTTATCTCGCAGAGAAGAAGTTACTGCTATCATGATGGACAGTCAAACTAGGCTGAACCCGCAGACCGGCCCACTTTTCTCGGTTGACTTCATTGAAATTGCAGACGACAAGTCCCAGTACGTGTTCCTTGTTGCTCATCATTTGGTCATTGATTTGGTATCTTGGAGAATTTTGCTAGCCGAGTTGGAAGAAGTCTTAGAAACAGGAACTATTTCGCAAGAAATTCCCATACCATTCCAAGCATGGTATAAGTTACAGCTTGAATACGCCCAAAAACACTTGCCGCCACAAAAGGCCCTTCATTTCACGCCTACTCTCGTAGAAGCCGATTATTGGGGCATGAAAGGTCGAAAAAATATTTATGGAAATGTCATTCACGCATATCTGAAGGTTGATGAAGCCTTGACAACTGCATTGCTCAAGGATGCCAATTTGGCATTTGACACTCAGCCAGTTGAGATTCTGCACGCCTCACTCCTACATTCGTTTATGAAATGTTTCCCCGACAGAGAGCCACCACTCATTTTTAATGAGGGCCATGGACGAGAACCGTGGGATAGCTCAATTGATATTTCACGGACAGTTGGCTGGTTTACAACTATCTGGCCTACTGAGGTGTTAGTGGATGATAGGAATGACGTGGTTGATATAGTCCGGCGGGTCAAGGATGGAAGACGAAAGGTGCCTGGCAGAGGATGGCCTTACTTTGCTTCCAGATATCTTAATGACAAGGGAAGAGCAGCATTCAATGGATACACGCCGTTTGAGATTGTTTTCAATTTCCACGGACTGTACCAGCAACTTGAACGTAAGGATGGCCTCCTTCAACAAGTCCCTTGGAAGTATGAGGCGTCTTGTGACAATGGGCCTAATGTCGTTCTCCCTGGACTGTTTGAAATTACTGCAGTCATTATCCATGGTAGCCTCCAGTTCGAATTTATGTATAGTCGGGAAATGCAACACCAGGACGCCATTAGACATTGGATCCGAAGCTGTGCTAGCTCTCTCCATGAGGCTATAGAGGGCCTGTTGGTACATGAGGAATCTCCTACATTGAGTGATTTTCCACTTCTACCTTTGACTTATAATGGTCTGACCCAATTGACCACTGAAATCCTCCCTCAATTGGGGATATCGTTGAATGACATAGATGAAATATACCCCTGCCTTCCTATGCAAGAGGGCATATTGCTCAGTCAAATTCGAAATAATTCGCATTACCAGACCCGAACAATGATCGAGCTCGTGTCTTCCAATGGAGCAATCGATACGGTTCGAGTTCGTGACGCATGGCAACAGGTTACAAATCGTCACCCCTCACTCAGGACAGTGTTTGTGAAAAGTAGCCTTTCAGGGGCCATGTATGACCAATTGGTATTGAAATCAATGCAGGCCCAAGTCCGTATATTGCCGCGCGCTAGAAATCACGAGGCGGCTGAAATACTCTATAAGGAGCGGAGAAATTTCAGTGAACTTGGGCAACCTTTGCACCTACTCACAGTCTGTGAAAACTCCGACGGTCAAGTTCTTGCTGACCTTGGGTTCAACCATGCAATCATTGATGGCGTTTCTATTTCAACCCTGCTTGAAGAATTCAAGCTTGCATATATGGGAGAACTCACAGAATCCCCAGCTTCACACTACAGCGAATTTGTTAATTATATTCAGAATATGTCCCATCAAGAAACCCGCAAGTACTGGGTGAATTATTTGGGAAACTCTGATCCCTGTCTATTCCCAGTTCTTACGGACGGTGTCTTTTTATCTACTGGACTAGAGGCCAATAAGCTAGAGAGGACAAAAATTACCCTTGAAGATTTACCAGATCTTCATGAATGGTGCAGAGCGCGAGATATTACTCTTTCAACTCTACTTAGGGTGTCCTGGGCTCTTGTTTTGCGTTGTTTTACCCAGATGGATGATGTTTGCTTTGGGTATATGAATTCTGGCCGGGAAGCCCCAATTGACGGTATTGAAGAAATCGTCGGCCTCTGTGCGAATATAATCATCTGCCGACTGGAACTCTTCAAAGAAAGGAATATTGCAGGCATCTTCCAATCTGACAAAACAGATTTTCTCAACTCCTTGTCGAATCAGAATGCCTCTCTAGCGGATATTATGCATGCTATTAACATGTCGAATCAAACGCTCTTCAATACAATCTTATCCATACAAAATAAGTCGACGCCATCTGAAATTGGAAACAGTAATTTCGTGGTTAAAGAATTATTCGAAGACGACCCGACTGAATACGATATCAGTGTCAACATCGAACTCTCCGGCTCAGGCAAGAATATCAGTGCATATCTTGGATATTGGACTGCAAGTCTTTCTCGATGGCAGGCACAAAATGTTTCTACGACATTCAGTCATATCATCTCTGAGATTGTTAACTCTCCGAATCTCTCTACCATCGAGAACTTGAACTATTTTGGTGTAGCCCATAAGTGGCAGGTTGCAAAATGGAATATTGACGCGGCTGCGTCAGTAGACTGTTGTACCCATACCTTGATTAAGGAGCGCTGTAAATTTCAGCCTGAGGCCCAGGCTATCTGTTCTTGGGACGGAAATATGACCTATATGGAACTAGATGAAATATCGTCTAAGTTAGCTACTAAATTGGTTACCGCCGGTGTGAAGCCTGACTCTATCGTACCACTATACTTTGAGAAGTGTAAATGGGCTCCGGTAGCAATGCTGGGAGTTCTAAAAGCAGGGGGAGCATTTGTTCTGCTTGACCCTTCGTATCCAAAACAACGCCTTCAAAAAATATATCAGGATACAGGTGCCATTTTAGTCGTGACGACTCCGCCACTTTCTGCTGGTGCCGAACAATTGACAAAGCAAGTTATCGTGATTAGTGAGGAGGTATCTTCCTGGAACATAGATGAGGCTCTTCTGAGTACTGTGTCAGTCACCCCTAAGAACGCCATGTATTCCGTCTTCACTTCGGGGTCTACAGGAGAGCCTAAAGGCGTTATCATTGAACATACGGCATTCCTCACCAGTGCTCGTGGCCATAGTGCTACACTTCACCTAGACTCGAGAAGCCGAGTGTTCCAATTTGCATCGTATACTTTTGATGCAACCATCTGTGAAACGCTTACAGCCCTTCTTGTCGGTGGTTGCATCTGTACACCGTCGGAAGCAGAAAGGTGGAATGATATATCTGGTGCGATAGCAAGATTGAATGCAAATTGGATGTTTATAACACCAGCATTGGCTAGAACACTTGATCCCTCTCGTTTTGCCTCACTGAGGACTATGGTTATCGGAGGTGAACTCATCACCACTGCCGAGACCCGTCTTTGGTGCGACAAACTGCAGCTACTTTTGGCCTATGGACCCTCAGAATGTTCAGTGATATGTGCCGTCACAGATCCTGTAAAGACAATTTCTGACCCTCGAAACCTTGGACACATATTCGCTGGTTCTTCTTGGATTGTTGATCAACATGATCACAATAAACTGGTTCCTATTGGCTCAGTTGGTGAATTAATCATTGAGGGGCCTCTTATTGCTCGGGAATATATTAACCGCCCAGAGAAGAATGCAGAAGCATTCGTGGAGGAACCAGCGTGGCTTTATGATTTCCGATGGAGCAGAAAGTCGCGATTCTATAAAACTGGTGATCTTGTCCAATATGCCGTCGACGGCACTATTCGATACGTGGGACGAAAAGATACACAGATCAAACTTCGAGGGCAACGTCTTGAGCTGGGAGAGATTGAGCATCGTCTGCGTCAAGCATTCCCTAGCGCTAAGGATGTTATTGTTGATGTCGTTCTCTCCAGCGTAAAGAAGACTCGAGCTTTAATCGGCTTTGTATACTGTGGCAACGAGGCCAAGTCGTCTCCAGAAAAGATATGGAATATACCGTCTGAAATATTCACCCTACACGCGCAGGAGGCGAGGAAAAGGCTGCAAAAGGAATTACCAAGTTACATGATCCCAGAGTCCATCCTCCCGTTGGCGAACATTCCCCTTACCAAGAACGGGAAATTCGATAGAAAGCTTTTGCGGAAGGAAGTTGAGAAAATGTCCTCTGAAGCTCTCCTAACATTAGACTCCGATAAAAAATCGAAACGAAGGCCATCGAATGAGATTGAGAGGAAGCTTCAGGACCTGGTTTGCCGCGTGCTTGGCCTATCGGAGGATAGACTAGGCATGGATGATAGCTTTTTCCACCTTGGAGGGGACTCAATCAGTGCTATGAAGCTAGTTGGAGTCGCAAGAACCGAAAAACTGGGTATAACTGTTGCTGATATCTTCAAAAACCCCCGGCTTGAAGATTTAGCATCTGCTCTACGCCACAATCTCGACCTGAAGGCTGATCGCATAGAGCCATTCTCTCTACTCGGCAATGACGAAGCTCGTAATGCTGCTATTGAAAAGGTTGTCGGCACACGCTTGATCGAAATGAAAGACATTGAAGATATATACCCCTGCACCCCTCTCCAGGAGGGTATGATGGCGCTCAGCATCAAGACTCCAGGGACATATACAATGCAGCACATTTTCCAGTTACCTGAGTTGGTGGATACGAAACAGCTGCAGGTGGCATGGGATAGGGCCATTGAATCCAACCCAATTCTTCGAACACGCATATATCAAGGTGATTGTGGAAAGGCTCAGCAGGTGGTTGTCCGTAGCAGAATTGAGTGGCAAGAATCGAATAGTTTAGACGCATATCTCATTCAAGATCGGAACATTCCAATGAAACTTATGGGGCCACTAATCCGGCTTGCATTGATCAATGATCAGGCCGGTGGCTCTAAACGATATATGGCTATAACCTTGCACCACGCATTATACGATGGGTGGTCGGAATGCCTACTCCTGGAAGCTGTTGAAGCAGCTTACCGTGGTGAAGAATTGAAGCAAAGGCCTTTCGCACCATTGATCAAATATATTTCGCAGGGCTATGAAGCTGCCAGAGGTTTTTGGCATACTCAATTTTCCGATGTCAAAGCCGTTGCCTTCCCGCCTTTGCCCTCCGAAAACTACTCTGCCATTCCTAGTTTTACAATCCAACGGTCAGTTCGTTTGACAAATTATCACCAGAATGGCTTCACTCTTAATTGTCAACTGCGCCTAGCCTGGGCTACCGTAATCTCGCAATATACAGCATCTGAAGATGTTGTATTTGGAGTGACTGTGACTGGACGGGATGCTCAAGTGCCCGAAATTGAAAGTATGACTGGCCCTGCGCTTGCCACTGTCCCTCTCAGAGTGCAACTACGCTCAAATGACAATGTTGGAGACAATTTGCAGGATATCCAGGATCAATTCGCACAGTCCATACCATTTGAGCAGTTCGGACTCCAAAATATCGGCGCTCTTGGAGAAGATGCTGCCGCTGCTTGCCGATTTAACAGCTTGCTTCTCGTTCAGCCATATGTGGAAGAGCCCCAGTGGGAGATATTCAATCAACAAGTCCCTATACCTGGTCAATCCACTTTCGATACATATCCCTTGACTCTCCAATGCACCTTGGGAAAAGATATCGTTGACGTTGAAGCAATATTTGATGCCAATGTTCTGTCCCATGAAATGATGGAGAGAATTCTCGGTCAATTTGTACACCTCTTCGAAGAGATGGCTAAGGATCTATCAAAGCCTATTAAAAGCATTAATTTAATCGGCCCTGATGACATGGCTTTATTGAAGGTTTTGAATGGTGAGCCACCACGAAAGCAGGAGTTACTAACACATGCACTCATCCAACAGCAATGTGAAAGGCAACCGGATGCCCAGGCAGTTTGCGCATGGGATGGCAACCTCACTTACAGCCAATTAGATAGCCATACAAAGAGGCTCGCGGCCTATCTCAACAGCCTTGGGGTAGGTACCGAAATGATCATACCTCTCTGCTTTGAGAAATCGAAATGGACAACTGTTGCAATGCTTGGAGTGATGAGAGCCGGTGCTGCATTTGTTCTTCTTGATCCATCTTCCCAGCCTGTCCAACGGATGGCAGAAATGTGCCAACAAGTGAGCGCTAGTTTGATTCTTTCGTCTGAAAAATATGCCTCCAAAATTCAACAACTCAGCTACGAGATTGTTACAATTGCAGACTCAGAACCTATTTGGAAGACTGAGACTCCAAACTGGCAACCTCCGTATATCTGTCCCAACAACGCAATTTACTCCGTCTTCACCTCTGGATCTACTGGAAAGCCCAAATGTATTACCATTGAACACCTTGGGTTCGCGAGTAGCGCAGATGCAAACAGGAAGATTCTGGGTCTAGGATCCAATACCCGCGTGCTTCAGTTTTCCTCATACTCGTTTGACGTTTGTATTGAAAACAACCTTACTACCCTAGTAGCAGGTGGCTGCATTTGTGTTCCTTCAGAAGCAGATTGCAAGGGTGACCTTGCAAAGTCGGCGCGAGACTTTAAGGTAACCTATGCCGACTTGACGCCATCAGTGGCCCGAATCCTTGAGCCTCATGATATACCCACTGTTGAGATTGTTATCCTTGGTGGTGAGGCTATGGCAGCAGAGGATGTTGCCCGCTGGTCCAAAAAAGTCCGCCTTGTCAATGCATATGGCCCAGCTGAGTGTTCCGTCACCTCCACTATCCAGCCAGATGTCGGACTCCAGGTGAATCCGGCCAATATTGGACGTCCATGTGCCGCCAGATGCTGGGTTGTAGATAGGTTCGATCATTTAAGACTTCTTCCAATTGGTGCTATTGGTGAGTTGGTTATCGAAGGTCCAATTGTTGGTCGTGGTTATTTGAACAATCCTGCTGCATCTGAGGCCTTTATTGAAGCACCAGCATGGCTTTCCGCCATTCGAGATGGTGAAAGTTATCGAATGTATAAAACTGGCGATCTAGTTCAATATAACGTTGACGGGACCCTCACCTACATTGGTAGAAAGGACCTACAGGTCAAACTTAATGGACAGAGAATTGAACTAGGAGATGTTGAGTCTCATGTTCGCCGACATTTCCGTGCCAGTCGAGATGTTGTCGTTCAAGTGGTAACTCACACCGAACTTGGTAACCATTCACGTCTCGTTGCATTTGTCTGGCAAGAGCATGAGCAAAACGGCGTCATAGAGGGCGAGGCATCACTACTTAGGGCTGCTACCGAACGATTCCGTCAAGATGTCAGATCTGCTGAAGAGAAGCTTCGACAGTCTCTTCCAAACTTCATGGTGCCAACTACATTCATACCATTATCTGAGCTTCCCTTGAATGCATCGGGCAAGGCGGACAGAAAGCGTTTACTCGAGGCTGTACTGGCATTGTCTCGTGAAGATATCCAGTCCTATGCCCCAGCTAGGGAGAGACGGCCGGTATCCACGGAGATGGAGCGCAAGATCCAAGCAATCTGGGCGAGGACACTAAAGATCAGCCCATCCGAGATCAGTGCTGGAGATAGTTTCTTCCAGCTTGGGGGTGATTCCATTGCGGCAATGAAAGTTGCTGCTGCTGCCAGAACAGAGGGCGTTTTCATTTCACTTCAAGACCTCTTCCAAAACGCTCCTTTGGAAAAGCTGGCCAAAGCAGGAGAGGCCAAAGTAAACGCTGCAGACGAAGCTATTGACTGGACGAAAGAAATTGCTGTCTGTCCGGGCCTTGAGATGCCCTTGGTAAAGCTCCCGCCGCGTCAAACTCCCGAGAGCAAGGTCGAGGTCATCTTGACTGGATGTACCGGCTTTTTAGGCCACGAAATTCTCAGACAGCTTGAAGAGTGCCCCGAAATTTCCAAGATTCACTGTGTCGCCATCCGAGCGAAGGGTACAGGAGTTGCAAGGAATGATAGCCTTAACTCTGAGAAGATTGTGACATACACAGGTGACCTCGCACTACCACGACTTGGTCTATCGAGGGAAGAAGAAGAGCGTATCCTAGCCCGGTGTGGAGCAATAATTCACTGTGGTGCCTTGGTATCTTTCGTCCAGGGCTACCAAACCCTCTACGGGCCCAATGTAGCGTCTACAAAGGAGCTCGCGAGATGGGCCATGAAAAACTTCATACCTTATCACTTCGTCTCGACTGCTGGAGTAGGCCATCTCAGCGGTGCCGATTTCTTCGATCAAGTATCTGTTTCAGCATATCCACCCCCTACCGACGGATCGGACGGATACACCGCATCGAAATGGGCGAGCGAAGCCTACCTGGAGAATGTGAATCAGAAATTCGGACTTCCAATCTACATCCACAGACCGACCAATATTATTGGCACCAGCACATCCCAAATCGACGTTGTCAATAACCTATTGACATATTCTCGCAAGATAAAGATGGTTCCTCGCTTTACAAACTGGACTGGATATCTGGATCTTATCAATGTCAGATATGTCGCTTCCGACATTGTTGAGAGTGTGCTGAAGTTGAGAACTCCTACCTCCACCGACAGATATGGTTTGGAATACATACATGAAGGAGGAGAGATCGTCGTACCTATTCAGCAGCTGGGAGAATACCTGGGCAAAGAAGCCGGTGGTCCTTCGTTTAAGAATGTGGACTTGGATTGTTGGGTTGCGAGTGCGAATGAGCATGGAATCAACCCGCTTGTTGGGGACTACTTGAAGGATTTACGAGACCAGGAAATTGAAGTGTCTCTTCCTTTGGCAAAGTGCAATCGCACGATGGAGACGTTGGCTACATTGAACAGAGAAAACGGAGCAAATGGAGTACACATTACAAACGGAGTGAATGGTATAAAGGTGGATGGTACTGCTGAAGCAAACGGATTACATTGAAGGGAAATAATAAAGGGCATAACTGTACTTAGTTAAAAGATTGTTAGTATAAATTTAATTTAATACAGGCGGCTGCGATCCAGCTTTGAGCATGTCCATAATATAAGTAAAGGTATATAGATTTTGTGCATCTATAGATCTAGCATGTCTGTTCATCATAAATCTATATAATGGCGTCTCAGAAATGCATCATATCAATCATATCATAACGTGTAAATAGACCCAACCAGCACCGCCAGGCCCCCACCAGCCAAAAACATAAATATATACCAAGAATAAGAAGCATAGCACCTAACCAAGTAACACCGAAGAGGGAGAAAAACAGTATCCAAGGAGAGGCATATCGTCATTATCGTCATCCTGAGCTACCTCCGCCCTTTTCCCTATCACTGAGCTCGTTAAAATTTTTCCTGGAGTGGAGCTAGAGGCAGCAAAGTAGTCAAAGCTGTTTCGTTTCGGGGAAGGAGGTTGGCATTCATCGTCTGATTCATCGTCTGGATCCTGCAACAGCTCTGGAGGCTGTTGGATGTCGTCTCGAGTGTAGTGTAGATAATCTGTTTCCTCATCCTCGTCCTCGTCCATGTCGTCGTAGAGACTCGTGAATGGTGGTTTTATCCGAGATGCACGGTTGTGAACGTCTAGGACGAAAACGACGTCTTCTCCGCTACCAGAGCTGCTGCCAGAGCTGCAGCTGCAGTCTGAGTCACATTCGTCATCTTCGTAGTCATCTTCATCCTCGCTGTCAAAGTCGAAGCCGGAGGGGGGATCCTCTCTGTGTGTGACCTGGATGTCGTTGCTGGCGTTGGCACAACTGACGGACTGATTGAACCAGTGCTCCTGTTCGTTCTCTGCCTCAGACAGCTCAGCCATGAGGCTGTCTAGTAAGTTTGCATGTGCGGTGAGGACCCTGAGATCCCTATCTGCCTGCCGGGCAGCATGCAGCAGCTTCTGGCGGGCTACTTGGGCAAGGAAGTAGGTCTGAGAGAGGCTCATATTGCTCTGTCGTCTCTTATTCTGTGATGGTGGAGATGGTGAAGAGTGAGGAGACGCCTTGGGGGTCGGCATGTTGATATCTCTCTCCTTTTCCATGCTGGATTGACTTTCTGACTCAAATGGCGGGATATGCTGATAAGATAGCAGCGTTATCGGCGGTTAGACAGAGATCACCGCGGCTCATGTGCTAGCCAATAGAAAGAGGGGGTCATAGGTGTGTTTGTGGACGACTAAGTGGGCTCCCAGATTATCTAAGGATGGAGGGTCAGAAAAAAGGCTGTCTAGGCAAAGTGGCAAGGGAGAAGGTGAACGAACGAAAGAAATCCCCAGCACCAACAGCGAGACCACGCCTTTAAATGGGTCGGCATTCTCGCGAACAGGATGTGCAGGATGTGCTACCAGGGGCCCCTTGGGCTGCGATTCGCGTAGTTGGTTATGATGCAATCAATTCGCGGCGGAAGCAGGAAGAAGCAGGGAAACCCTGGTCGCCAAGCGCGCTGCGACGCGAAAAGCTGGTCGAGTTTAGTCACGGAGAATGAGCTTATAGCAAGCAAGTATCAGAGGAGCAGGAGTGTGCTAGAAGGATTATAGAAGAAGTTGAATATCAAAACGAAAAAAGGTTGATAGCCGCTCGGACCCAGTGCGGGTGACTAAGCATCTATGTTGTCCTCTTTGGGAAATCCGCGAAGTTTCTCGTTGACGTTGAATGTGAACGAAGTTGTTGACCTGGAGATGGAAGAAGAAGAGGAAGAAGACAGAAAGCATGTGGTGGTGTTTCTTACCATGAAGTCCGTTGCTACTACCGGAACTATGGACAGCAGCTGCATTGGGAGGAAACGTTCCGATGTTTCGATGCCATCTTCCCCCTTTCTTACGGGATATTTCATACAGCAACTAGATTATCCTGCTACGCATGGTCCGTCACATACAATATACCCATCATGACGGCCCATAACCCGATTCCCACTACGGGCCACTTCATCTTATCCTGTCTTTCGTATGCTTGCCCGAAGCTTTGTGACCATGCATCCTCCACACCAAAACGGGAACGATGGACTAACGGCGTGTCTGAAATTAACGGCAGCCAGGGCTTCATGGGAGATGATGAAGTCCGCAATGAGGACTATAGGTGCGGAGGACCAGTGCTCGCAAAGATGCCCGCCTCTATCAAGCCACATCCTATACAGGACATTATTTTCCCACGGCCATCAGAGTCTCATCTACAGCCCTCCTCAGACCCTCCCGAAGAGTCTACTCTAAAAAAGGTGGAAGCTGTGTTGAGGACATGGGAAATTTCTTGGTCGGAGATTAAATTTGTCAAGCGGGTACCGTATGACACTCAATTCCCGAGCATCAATACGATCTTGATCCGTTCGTATAGGCGAGAACTTGACCGCTCGTGGTACAACGCATGCAAGGACATTATCCCACTTCTGGCTCCGCTTAAACCCCCTTTTAGCGTCGAAATACTTGACAATCGCGCTTGTGGTTGCCCAGCCATATCCGACATAGACTCGGATGACCCGATTTACCTGGTATCAAAGAGCCTGAACCAAGAACTTAGGAAGGCCATACCAGAGCTTTCTGGACTGTATATGTGTCTCGTAGCTCTTTCAGCACCCCTTCTCGAGCTCAATTCTACGGTCTTTGTCTCGGTACCGGATAATCTAGTTGACACCTGTGACTGGAGCGGTGTCCGAGACCAAATCATCACGGTGCTAGACGACATCGGCCTCGACCATATTTCTGTTATGATATACGCCGGACCGCTCCCAGTTCACTGCCCTTTGATTGAACGCAAGGTCAGAACCGCCAAAGGCTTTCTAGTTGTTTCAGGAGAATGACCTTTGGTTATTTCCCCCGCCTCTTACTTGGATGATCTGCCATCGTGTGGCTGCTAGTTTTTGTGGTCTAATACTTAGCATTCCAAACTTTACTGTTCTGTACTTCCGTGAACGACTAGACAGATTTGCAGGAGCCACGGTTAACTATAATTTTCTCAACAAAAACAAACTATTGTTACATTCTTCTAATTCCTATACTTATTCCCCAAACCGTACTTAGAAGTAAATACGACGCAGCTCGGCCGATCTGGGCTACCGGGAAACAAGCACTGCGGATGATGAGCTTGGTAAATCTTCCAACCACCAACGATTCCTGTTTTTTTTCCCTTCTCGCAACTTTTCTTACCATCAAAAAGACCATCTTTAGTCATGTTATTCATTAATAAGCAAAATAAGCTTAAAGCGAGATGACGTCATCCCGTGACTGCGGCTCTCCCCAAAAAGAAAACCCAAAAGTTGACAATTTAATACTTCGCCACATTTTGCTTTATCACGTCCAAGCGGGTTCCCGAGAGCTGGATATGTCTTGCCTTGATTTGCATAGAGGTTAGGGTCGGCTATCCATGGTGCGCACTACTGGTACTCCGTATCTTTGCAGGAACTTGTAGGGAGGTGTTAATCTTATTAGTTTTAATCTATGGTAGGAATACTTGGATAATAGAATACGTGGCCTAAAATACATAATAAGGGATATCTGTGTTACAAAAAAGAGACAATTAGCCCAACCTCAACGCAAAGCCGGCTCCTGACTCCGTCGAGCCTCCATCAAGGCCTCCACCACCAAATACATTTGCAAAATCCAGTCTGGGCGCTTCCTCTCCTCTCTTCGGCGCCTCAGGCGTATCCCGCTTGCGTCTCCTTTCCATATTAGCCTTTGAAGGGAAGGTTGGGAACATTTCCTTGGGTTTGGGTTTGGGGTCCTCGCGGAAGTATGGGTGGGACAGGCATGATTTGGCGGTTGGTCGGGATGTAGGGTTAAGGGCGAGGAGGTGAGATAGGAGACTGAGTCCTGCGGAAGTGAGATAGGGAAACTTTGAACCCGAGAGGAGCGGGACTACGGGGCTAGAGCTATCGGAGGGTGGTGGTGGGAGACGAAGAGACTTTGCGTTGGGAAGAGAGCGGAAGCCAGGCCATGTACGGGAGGTAGGAGGACCGGTGAGTTTGAATATCTGTATAGCATTGTTAGTGGTGGTCAGTTGCCAGTAAGTTAGGAAAACATACCTCTGATAACTGGCCTACTTCGTTGTTACCGCAAAAAAGAGGCTCCTTGATCAATAATTCACCAAATATACAGCCTATGCTCCACATGTCTATCTCGGTGCTGTATGTATCTGCACCCATCAGCAGCTCTGGCGCCCGATACCAGAGCGTAACGACCAACTGAGTCATCTTTGGCGGCGGGTTACCGTAGTACCTCGCCATGCCAAAATCGGCAAGCTTGACTTCTCCGCGGTTATTCATGAGTAGGTTCGATGTCTTTAGATCGCGATGCATGATCCAATGTGCGTGCAGAAACTCCGCTGCACCGAGCACTTGGAGGAGAACCGTCTTGGTCTCGGAGGGCAAGAAAGGTTCTCTCATCTCGTTCAGCAGAGACTTGAGATCGTGTTCGATAAAATCCATGACCAGGAGAACGCTGCGAGAATCGGAAAAATCCAGTAAAGAGAGGAGGTTAACGACCATCATGTATCTGGGCTTTCCAGTCCAGAAGGATAAGAGAGAAAGGAATGAAAGGGGGCTTACTCGTCCATTGTATCTCCCATGACTACTTCACGGAGATGAATTATATTAGGATGCCGTGATCCAAACAGGGTCTGTATTTCACGGAGACCAGTGACGGGGAAGCCATCGTAGGGGCTTTGCATCTTCAGCCTCTTGATGGCCACGATTTCACCTGTTGCTCGCTCCTTTGCCCGAAAGACCCATCCGTAGGACCCTTCTTCAATAGCATTCAGGTTCTCAAAGTTGTCAATGTGTCGGCATGGTCCCCATTCTGGTGCTGGGAATCGAAGCAGCTTCGCCGCAGGTTGCTCAGGCACTGGCGCATCTCCAGCCATGTCTTCGTTTGACAGCCGTCGCCGTTTAGCAGGGGGTTCAACTCCATTCTCTGCCCTCCCTTCGTCTTGTCTGTCGTTCTCTGCCGTCGACTGTTGCTGCTGCTGCTGCTGTCTCTCCGCGAGCAGACGCTGTCTCTCTGCCTTTGCACGCTTCTTTGCTTCTTTCTCCTGCTTTCTGCGCTGAATTTCAGCTTCTGTCTCGGGGTTATCGTCTGCCCATCGTGATTTCGCAGGAGCTGACATCTTTTAACTGAGCTTTCTTCGGCTGTCGAAGCTCTTTGGTTGTTGTTTTCTTCGTCCTTTCGATGCTGAAGTCGAAGTCGGACTTTGTTTGTTCCGCCATGACGATGTTGAAGCCCAGAAATTCGCCCCGCCATATTAATATTGACTGTACAAGGTCGATATCATCTAAATAATATACAGGTATACTATCATGGAATGATCTATACTCTCTGTAGAACGGAGAAATTCGGCACCATGATCGAGCCCTTTCAAGTACGGTTAGACCCCCAGAGAAGCAGACAAGAGACTAACAAGGGCTACAGACAACATTCGCGGTCCCAATGACATGCGAGAGCTGCATCAAGGATATCTCGAGACCGATTTACGAGTTGGCAGGTATGTCTACTTGTGGCTACCTGTTGGAATGTCTTAGATTTGGCCCCCAGCTAATGTTATGCGTTGTTGTTGTTGTACTGTGCAAAGGGATCAAGAAGGTCGATGCCAGCCTCAAAGACCAACTAATAGTGGTCGAGGGTACCGCTGCACCCTCTGCCATCGTGGCAGCGATCCAGGGCACTGGTCGAGATGCCATTCTACGCGGTAGCGGGACATCAAACAGTAATCCCCCCCCCCTTGCCGCTTGATCCCGAAAACATAGCATACTTACGGGTGTAGATGCCTCTGTATGCATTCTAGAGACTCACAAGGAGGGTGTTGCCAACAAGATCCGCGGCCTAGTGCGCATGGTACAAGTGTCGACTGGACTGACGATATTTGATCTGACGATAAACGGACTCTCGCCTGGCCGCTACTGGGCGACCATCCGCGAGACAGGAGACATCTCTCGCGGCCCCGAGTCGACCGGCGGAGTGTGGGAGGCGTTAAAGGAGAAGCAACAAAGCGAACGAGGCGAACAAAGCGGCCCGCGAGGGATAGTGGGCAGTGTCGACGTGGATGAGACGGGCAGAGGGAACGTCTTCCTGGACCGACCGATCGCGGTATGGGAGATGATCGGGCGAAGCATGGTGGTATCGAAGTCGAGAGAGGGCCCCTTCCGGGTCGACGACGAGGACACGATCGTGGGAGTCGTTGCGCGAAGTGCTGGCGTCTGGGACAACGAGAAGATGGTGTGTTCGTGCTCAGGCAAGAATGTCTGGGAGGAGCGAAAGGAGCAGGTTTCCAAAGGGATGGTCTGACGGATTGCTCTCGACAAGGAGGCGCTCAGGGGGAGGGGGACTTAGCCAGCCTTAATCTCGCATTCCACAGTTCTACAGGGTGCATGTTGGTGGCATGCTGGATGCTGGATGTGATTCGCTGCCCGAGGTTTATATGCTAACCGCCCGCCTCAGCTTGGCCTGCATAGCCATGAGATAGCATGATACTAGCATGATAGCCATGATATCGGCCATGTATCCCGCCAGCTTGTCTAGAAGACTCCAATGTCTCATCTGGGCTCCTGTCGTGCGTATATAAACACGTATAGATATACAAGTGTAAGCGCCGGCCATCTACCATCGCCACGAGGTAAAAAAAAAACAACACAGCTGCACACATCCTGGCACATCACAAACCCGTCACAGTCTTGTCGCTGCTGGGCGCGCCACCGGCATCAGCTCCGTCTGCCAGTCCGTATATACAATATATCAACTGCTAAGCGCCCTCTTTAACTCAATCACTCTGTCTATCATCGAGCGTACAGTCGAGGGCGTCATGTCGTTGAAGCAGGTATCCTCCAGCATCCCGCCCATATCTATCTTGTATCCATGCTAACGAGAGCAGGAGATTGAGACCTGGGTTCAGGCCCTGGCCCACTACGACAATAACGAGTTCGAGGATGCCATCGCCGTCTTTGGAGGCATCGCGGACACTTCCAAGATCCTCTTCAACTGCGGCGTCATCTACGCTACGCTGGGGGAACATGTCAAGGCAGTCAGTACATCTCTTGCATGCACACAAACGGACCGGCATAGAAACTAATGAAACCAGGTGGACTGCTACCAGAGAGCCATCGCCCTCGACAAGTACCTCGCCATAGCGTACTTCCAGCAAGGAGTGTCCAATTTCCTTATCGGCGACTTTGAAGAAGCGCTCGCCAACTTCAACGATACGCTGCTCTATCTTCGAGGCAACACGACCATCGACTACGAGCAGCTGGGCTTGAAGTACAAGCTCTACTCGTGCGAAGTCCTCTTCAACCGAGGACTGTGCTATATCTACCTGCAGGAGACGGAGTCTGGCATGAACGATCTGACCTATGCGGCAAAGGAAAAAGCAAAACCAGACCATGATGTTATCGATGAAGCTATTGCTGAAACTGCAGAGGTAGGATCGTGTCTTTCCCCTTTTTTTATCGTGAGTTCGACAATCTAACAGGATAGGGGTACACTGTGTTCTCGATCCCGGTTGGCGTGATATATCGACCGAGCGAGGCCAAGGTCAAGAACCTCAAGACGAAAGAGTATCTCGGCAAAGCGAGACTGGTGGCTGCCTCTGATCGAGCAAACACGTTCACCGGATTTCAGGCCCACGAGACGAAAATACCGGTCTTTGAGAGCTCTCGAGATGACCGGCCGCCGGAAACGATCTCTTACGGCGCCACGAACCTCGTGCAGAAGAACCTGGCGACCAGGAGCAGACAGCAGTCTGAACCACCCATCAGCCGCAATGCTTTCCCTCCTACACCACCACCGGACGAGAAGGCTGCCTCCCTCGTCCCCAGCAATGGATCTACAGGTAGTTTGGCCCGCAAACAGTCCCTGACAAGGGCCACTCGGCCCCCTGTTCTCGAACTTGGACAGCCCACTGGGTCTAACGGATCACCAGCACCGGCAGTGGAAACACAAGCAAGGCCTCAGCAAGAGAAACCACGAGTTGGAACCATACGAACGGCCTCTGAGCCACGCGGGCCAGCCTCCAGGCTCTCAGCCATACGATACGCTCCACAAAACGGGAAACTCCTCTTCCGCGAGACCACCGGACAGCATCGACGTCCCATGTCAGGCATCGCTCCTCTGTCCGAAGAACCACAGGCCTACTACGCCATGTACGCTGCGGGATACCCCAACGAGAACGGCCTAGCGTCCAAAGCGACAAGACTGCCAGAATACATCGACGAAGAAGGCTACGAATCCGACGCCTTCGAAGACGACTCGGGAGACTGCGTCCAATTCGAAATGGTCGGAAGCCGCCCTCCACCACAGCACCAAGTGTCCGGCCACCGACGCCGTGGCTCCTCCCGACGGCCTGAAATCAAGAAGATCCGCGTCAAAGTCCACGCAGACGCAGACACACGCTTCATCATGATAACGCCCACCACCGAGTTCGCTGAGTTCGAAAACAAGATCCGCGAGAAGTTCGGGTTCAACGGCAACCTGAAGATCAAGATGCAGGATGACGGCGACATGGTCACCCTGGCCGACCAGGACGATCTAGACATGCTTGTTACAGCAGCCAAGCAGGCGGCTAGAAGGGAGAATAACGATATGGGCAAGACGGAGGTAAGGGTTTCGTGCATTCCGCCTGTAGGCTTTGCATATACGTAACTGACCCGCCGTTTGCTTTCCCTTCCTCTTGTCTTTTCCCGGGTCGTTGAGCTCCAATGACGATGGTCTACTTCTTGAATATATGTTATCCTTGCGTAATTATGGATTTGATAGATGGCTTATGATGGCTTTTTGATGGGCTTTGCTGGTTAGCATGGAGTTTTGGTCATGTCCATACATTTAGTTACGAGTAACGTTCTCTTCCTATATCTACTCTATACTCTGCTCTTCCTGTATCCATTCTATACTCTGCTCTTCCTGTATCCATTCTATACTCTGCTCTTCCTGTATCCATTCTATACTCTGCTCTTCCTGTATCTATTCTATACTCCATGTATGCGCTTATATCTACTCTATCACCTCGCTTACTAAGCTTAACAACACCCAAGTCCAAAAGATGAAGACAACAAATTCATGTTGATTCATCTTCTTCACAGCCGACCATGACGGATCTTACTCCGGCAGTCAATGACCTGCTTAGGTCTCGCGGTAGCTCTATGCTGTCCGGCGAGGCCATCAAGCCATCAGACCTGCAGGTCGACGAGTTCCTCAAGGAGGCACATAGAATTGTACGTGGCATTACAGCACAGCTATACACTTATGGATATCTAGACTAACAGAGATAGAACTTCCATATATCCTCTCTGCTGGCCTATCTAAAGTCGATACGGACAGCCTATCTCTCCGCTGCGCCCGCTCGAGCAACCTTCGGCCATCACGCAGACTTCAACCCGAACCCGCTCAACCCAGGCTCGATATCAACCCACCTTACTGACCCGGAGAGAGACGCAATCGACTCCTCGACAGCGTCTCTACTACAAGATCTCTCCCGCTCAATCGGTAACCTTGCGTCGGCTGAATCACTGCGGTGCCAGACCCAGGCGTCTGTGTTGCGCAAGAAGTACGGCCACGGCAGGCTGAATGAACGACTATGGCAGTGGGCGGGGGGTGGGGGGGCGGTAGAAGTGCCGCGAACGCCTGAGCAGGAAGAAGCAGAGGACACGGAGAAGAATGTGGCCGGTATACGGGAGAGTGTGCTGTGGTTTCTTCGGCGGGGTTTAGAGGCGGCTGCGGCGGTGCAGAGGGAGATGGTGGAGAAGCGGATCGAGAGGGCTAGAGAGAAGGAGAAGAGTGTGTTGTATAAGGCTAAGGCGGGACAGGTAGCAGTAGATGGTGCGGGTAGCGGTGGAATGTACGATGGTGGGAATGGGCAGGGGGGGGATACGTTGAGGGGACGAGATGTTTCTGTTGACGAGAAGGAGGCGGCGGCCATCGAGTCGCAGCTATCGCCGGAACAGCTGCAGCTCTTTGCGCAGGAGAATGACGGGATGCTCAAGTACTATGAGGATACCCTTGGGAAGGTCCAGTACGTGTTGCCCCTTTCAACATAGATGTGTGTGTATACTAACGAGAAGCAGGAATGCGGAAAAGTCACTGCTGGAGATATCATCGTTGCAGCAGACGTTGGTAGCTCACCTGGCTACGCAGGAAGACTACATCAACCAGCTGGTGCGGGACGCAGACACGACGCATGCCAACGTCGGGAGAGGCAACAAGGAGCTGAAGAGGGCCGGTGAGCGACGAAGCGAGGCCCAGATGGTGTTTTGGGCCACCGTCGTCCTCTGCGCCTGGCTT